CGTCAAACACGAAGGTAAAATGAAGAAGACGAGCCTACAACCTACTGGGCCGATTAGACGTCCACAGCAGCCTGGCGCCCGGAAGGGTGGTCTTGGGATGAAACGACAGATTGCACCTCCCGGTCCGAAACAATCTGCGGCTAATCCGGCTAGCGATAAAATGGACACGGCGCCTGACGGCGAGAGCAAACCGAAAAAGAGCAACGATGATTTCCGCGCTATGCTCCAACAAAAGCGTCCGGAATGAAGTGCAAGTGCAATGACAGTGGCAATTCCTGGCGCAATTCCTTTTTTTTTTTTTTTTTTTCGCGGCATGTATTCGGCTGGCGTTTTTATGTTTAATGGTGGTCATCTTGATGCTTCCTTTAGATCCGCATGTATTCATTCGGGTCGGTCTGCGCCATGACCTCTTTTGTTTATGGCACATGTCGTGTATATTATGACTGTATCTTGCTCTTAGTTCTAATGATGATGTCTGTTCCGAAGGGTTGTCTCCGAGACAATGCCCCCGATGACTTGACACTTTTTGTCTCTATAAAGAAACCGAACAGTGTATTATGATTAGCTAGAGAAGTCATCATGCCTCTATATAAGTTATCACATATATTATGTCGTACATGCAGAATGTGATTGGATTAGATGTCACGATAGCGCACTGACGTCAACTGGCTATGTACGTTAGACTTCTTGATTTCTCTCTGCGGGGAAATTTCTGATACATTTCAAGTGGGTTTCACAGAGCGATTTATTGCGGCCAATATAACTGTTATCTCTGCCTAGTGGAGGGTACGTTACTCTGCATTCCCCCGGCCTTTGGACACTCCGCGTGATCTCTCTTATCTGACGATTAGCCCCAACATCTAGTACACCCCTTCCCTGACCTTCGTTTCTGCTTTCTTTGTCTTACTTAGGTCCATTGAGACCTTTCAAGATATCGCTGCTCTACACTCGATGTGCAGGGCTGTTACCAAGTCTCGTGAACATTCCACGCCATTGCATAGCCGCAGCGATGGACTTCCGCCTAGTTCCTCGCGGTAGCGATCGCAACTACACAGGATTTCTTACAAAGACAATAGTCTACATCGGGACGCTGATGATATTTCTGGCCTGTAGGCAGCTCTCAACGCTCAGCTAGGTAACCAGATTTACTGACGAAATTTCCCAGCATTTGGCTTGACAGTATCCTCGATCGTCATTCCAAAATGGGTCAGCTACCATAGCGAAAAGGTACGTCGTTTATCCACCACCGACAAGCTCCCACTAACACTATGAGCATACAGCCCGATAATCACTACTCTTATGGCCTTCACCGCCGCTGTTCCTCCCTCACCGATACCTGCGAGAGCTTCCCACAGCGCGAAGACTGCCACGGCGAAGACCGATACTTCTGTTCCATGTGGCGCTCCGTCGGGTTCTTGATGTCCTTTGCTGTCGTTTTGCAAGGCATTAGCATAGTCACATATCTGGTCATCTTGAGTGGCGGGAAACAGCTGCGCGAAAATGGATGGAGTATTCTTAGTTTGATGGTCGGTTTGTCTGCCATTGTGCAGGTAGCCGGCATGTCGATAGTGGTGAGTTGATAATGTGCCTGTATTTGGCAATATGACGTATTCTAATGATTTGGTTTACAGGCATATCTATTCGATAACGAGGACCGGTTCTTCGTCGGCTGGAAACTTGACCAGTCCTGGATCTTTTGCACTATCAGCTGGTGCTTCAGTGTTTTCTGCGCAGGCATGATCATTGTGGCTGCTAGGGTCTTGCCCTCAGAAGGTGGGTACGAGTTGATTCCTGATCATGACGAGTTCCAAGTCACTTGATAGTGCCTAGCATTCAAGGCACCTGGACGAATCACGCGTTACGCAAACAGACGAAGGAGACCTATCTAGGTATCATCAGTCCTTGGTGACTTTTCATAATTCTGCTATTTCGACGGTTGCAGATTGTTGACGCTTTTCTATCTTTCGATTGCGTGCTTCGGCGTTGGGGCTGTATACATCTTTTATCCTTCCGGGCTGTGGCAGGGAGAACTAATGGGAATAAAGAGTTGAATAAAATATATCTCTGCAGGCATGTGTATCTACAGCCAAGTTCAGTTTATCATGGATCAAATCATATCTTCGTGGATCGTGTTTGTGACTATACAAGATAGGCAGAAAAATGCAATGCAACGTAGATAAAAAGTTCATCATTCATCTCATACAGTACATTCCCTCCGATAGGCTCAACCTACCAGACAATTTCTTTCCCATTCAATCCTTCAGTGGCCGGAATCTGTGGCCGCAATGCCTGACCATAGTCACCCCCGTTCGGCGTGCGAAGCAGAGTGTGAATGTGAAATTTCTTCGGCTCCTCGTTATTCAAAAACACGCCGGAGTGATGATCAAACTCAACGAGAATAACCGGATTCTGAATACGGTAATAGAAAGGATCCTCATCCCCATATCCTCCAATCCAACAAAAGTACGTCTCTGCCTCGTGCGCCCGCACCTGATCAATCTTCATAGCGCGCGATTTGGACGGCAGGTAAAGCAGATACTGCTCCAGGATGCCGTACATGAGCTCTTTCTGCGCGGCATTAAAGGTCGACGCCAGGATACCCTCATATGGCACCTCACGGTTATCACGGTATGCACCACATAGATGACGCTGGTCATCTTTATTCCAGCGGCCGGGTGGCATAGCTGGATCCTTCATGTGAACAAAGATACGAGCGGAAGATTGCAGCTCCGCTGAAAGCGACTGCATTAATTGCAGCCCGAGCTTCTCCTCGATCTGCATGATGCGCGTGCCGGCGTGCGGGCCGGCGTCGATCTCGTTTGGCTCTGCGCCTGTGAACCACGGCGACGCGACGATCTGCCCTTTGTACAGGAAGACATTTAGGCAGAGATGGTGGCCGTAGAATGACCAGCCCCACGGACGGGTGGTTGATGGGCGGCCGAAAAGAACGAAGTTGTAGGAGAATTCGTTCATCACTGCTGGTGATTTGACTAGCTCGCCGAGGAAGTGGTTGATGCGCATTGCGCTGACGGCCTTTTCATAGCCTTCTGGTGAGAGTGTTGTCCCGAGGACGTTCATCACTGCATTCCGGGTCTCGGTATTGACTTCATCGAGCCGAATGCCTTTGTTCGCAAGTAGAAATTCGGGGTTCGACCATGTGCGCCATTGTGGGGAGTCGATGTGGTAATTGATGGCTTCTTTTTGCTTATCATCCAGCAGGGCGGTTACAGCTTCTGTCGCATCTACAATTTGTTGAATTGGGATGTCTTCTTCTTGTAATGTGAATAGACCCGGGCGGACGTTTCCTGTAGATGTTAAAAGTATTCTACTATCATTTCAGTTTAGTTCATACCATCGGTAGTCACGCCTTTAAAGGGCTCCTGCAATAGCTCCAACCAATGCATATATAGGGCATGCAGCCAAGGTGGCTGATGTCCGGTCTTGAATTCGTGCGCGTACTCGTGCGCATCCTGCTGGCACATCGCCTGGAAGCGCTGGAGGTTGAGGTCAGGCAGGTACTGACGGTACTCGCCCGTGGGCTTTTGCAATGCGTTGGCCATGATAGTAAATAATGATGTAAAGAAAGAAATCAAGAAGAAATGTCCAAATGGTATTATAGCAAGCTGAGACCCCACATCCCACTAGCCTTCCCCACGAGCGTGGGGATGGGAAATTCCTTATCCGCACCGTCTAGCAACTTGGGATTTCGGGCCAAATGTACCGGGAAGACATTTATTGGTGTTTTATATCAAGATCCGGGAATATCTGTGGGATTTCCTAAATGCGGAGTTTGGGGTTGTTGTGACCTTTGGACTGGGATGTGCCGGGGCACAAGCCTAATTAGGGTTGATAATTTGGACATACACCTGCAAAGGAACAAAATGTAGAAATTATGCCAACAGAATAGGGAGGAATAGGCTCTTATTTCGTTTCTGCTTTCCGCCCTGCTAGAAGGTGAAAATGGATGGAGAGCATCGTAAAGATTCTTTATACTTGACAAGCATAGTTGGCCACTTATGGGCCCTTGTGATGTCTTTTCGGTGATCTTTTCAAACATTCTGCTTGGATGCCTTTGGGGATATTTTCTCCCCCTTCTCGGTTTCATGGGTAGGTAAACGATAGAGAGAAAGAAGAGGCTTAATTTGGGAAACGGACTTATTCAATAGGATAACCTGAGATATATATATGGTACAACTCCAACATGCCCTAATCCATAACTTGGACTTCAAAGATTAAACTATACACGGACCACACATTATAATATAAATCACCAGGCTGTTAGTTGCTTACCGGGCAAAAAACCATATTGTCGTCCAAAAAAGGTGCCGTGGACATATAAGCTTGACCGCAACTCGCTTGGCCTCGAGAACTCGGGTTTTCCGAGAGATTCTCTGTTGAAGCATATCGTTGTATGTCGGAAATTCCCGTGCTCTGCATCTTTCTAGGAGCTTCAAAACTTCAGCCGTCACAATGGTCATCTTAAAAACACTACCCTTCATACTTCACAACGTCGCTGAACATTTACAAATCATCTAAGCAGGTCCTATGTGTGATCCCCCAACTAGAGAGTGAGCGTATTACAATTTCGCAAAGCAAAGGCGTGTTTCATATGCTAACATCTGTGAAGAAACTGGTGTAGTGATGGCTATATCCACAAGTGACGTTGTTCTTTCCGATGTCCTATTTCCCACTACTATAACCACGCCCATGTCTGCTTGATCACAAAGGCATTGTGAAAGCTATGGAATGGGGACCGATTTTGGATGATGATGACTTTGATGAAGTTCTGCTTGAAAGCAGTTTCCTTCCCCAAACTGGAAATCCAAGCAATCACTCGTGGACCTCGCAAATGATTTCTGATATAGACCCGGGCACTTCCCCGGTCACGTGGAGCGAAGCCGGTCCGGAATTACCGGCCTCACATAATTGTCGTCCAAGACTGTAAAAGCAATGCTCAACATCATTATACCGTCTGGGGCGCATTGGGGAATGTCTGTATGATGCAGAATCTCGGGTCTCCAATCCACCAACCTGAAGTCGACCAGCCGGCCTCTAAGCGCACCAAACGGCCGCGTGCGACTCAAGCTTGCGACAGATGCAGGCTAAAGAAGTATAAGTGCAACGAGCAATATCCATGTTTGCATTGTAAAAGTAAGTGATCCGATTACAGGGGTATCACGTATTCTCTGACAATCACAGAAAGCGACCTGGCTTGCGTATATCAGGGCAACTACCGAGAACGTGAAAGCGGCCGGTCTGCAGAGTAGGTCATCCAGTCAGGATATTGACTGTGCTTGCTAATATTCATAGTTATATCATCGAACTTGAGAAGAAGGTGGAAGAGCTGACCTCGAAGCTGCGTGATGCGGAGGCCAGAGCTTCTCTTAGCGGTCCCATCCTACTAGCAGCGGAAACGCCATGCTCTATGCGGGATGCTTCCACGCCACGAGAGGTTGCAAAAATACCAGAAACCCCCGAAAGATCCACAGAAAGTGCAGGTGACGAGATCAGCGAGGTCAATCACACCAATAACATTGAATCCCATGGTGGTATGTGCACAGCTGCAGTCATTGACCATCTAAAGAAAGCGCACGAGCCAAAAGGCCAAGAAGAAGCTTGTTCTCGTGCAGCTGATTCCTCGATTGTCTCAGCCCTCCATAGCCCAAGCTTCCCCCCTTCATGCGCCGCTGGACCGGGGCAGACGTCAATTGAACAGCAAAACTACTATTTCGCCCAGGCTCATGTTTTTATGAGTGGATATTTTGGAAGCATTCATTCCGTCCATCCGTTCGTTGATAAGGATGACTTTCTCGCGCGCGCTAACGATCTCTGGTTCAATCGATCACGCACGCCTGAGCCGAGTTTTATCGCGCTTTACCTCAGTGTTCTCTCGCTTGGGTCTTTGGTGCGCGTATGGGATGAAGATACCATAGCCGGCTTGGATCGGTTTGAATGGAGCCGAAAACTGTTTGGGGAGGCGCAGGTGTACCTGAACCACTTGCGGTTTTCTAACGACCTTGAAACTGTTCAGTGTCTTTATATGATGGTGTGTGGGTATTTGCCGATGATTGAGTACAAGCTAACCTGGACAGGCCAAAGTTTGTCAAAATGAACTCAAGCCGAATCGTGAGTCTTCATTCCAATTTTCGATTCAAAATCTAATCGAACAGTGGCCTACATGTATCTTGGCCTCGCAGTACGGACATGTCTTTCTGCTGGCTTTAATCGAGATATTCCATGCCCAGGAGACACCAAGCAGCGTTCTGGCTGGATCTCAAAGACTTGGTGGTAAGTCGAAAGTCCGTGTTCCGATATAACTCGATAGCTCTAACGAGATGGCAGGGGTCTGTTCTCTTTGGAAATGTAAGTACAATGTGTCTTATTCTTGATACTATGTACTGATGAGTTAGTGAGATGAGCTTTTCATTTGGACGGCCGGACACCCTTGGAATGGATGAATATCACAACCGCAGCATTCCACCACGCGACAATTCTGAATTTGCCATTATCCCATGGATGATTGATCTTGCGCAGATTATTCGACAAGTATCTGTCCAAATCTACCATTCTCGCATCTCATTACAGGACAAGTTACAACTTGCTCTGCAGATCGAAATGGAAATGGATCGCTGGCTAGCGAGGCTTCCAGAAATGATCAAACCCGATATTGGCGGATATGGAATGTCTCGTAGTGCCCTGCGCGACCCGAATTGGGCACGAAGACAACGGCTTATGTTGGGAATTAGTAAGTTATCTATGAAACTTCCAAGCTTCTTGACTCCCGACTAATGAGTGCAGGGTACTATAATGTTAGAATGTTGCTTTTCCGGCCTTTCTTAAGCCTCTTTGCTCGCAAACTCCGACATGCTCCAAACGAATTAGATCAAACTTTTAACAAGTGTTTGGACTCCGCTATGAAGACTCTCCAAGTGCTTCATGACGTTTACCGAATCCATACATTTTTCCGCTGCTGGTATGTTTCTTCGGTTAGTATTGTTGCCTTGCTGACTTGAAATTATCCCAGGTGGTATAACACAACCTATGTAATGCTCGCTATATCGACACTCCTCCTTCCAATGTCGAAGCTCGGCATGTGCGCTGAAACCATGCCTTTATTACGATCCGTGGAAATGGGCGTGGAGATCTTAGAAGCCATGGATGAGGCTGTAACAGCCCGAAAGTCGGCTGAGATTATCAGGCAGTACCTCAGGGACTTCCGAGAATCTGGAGCCTCAGAGCCATCTGTGGAGGATGAAGTTCACCAATCTGAGGGACAAGGATTTGAAGTACCAGTATGTACTCTCATCCTGTTTTCCTAAGATTTACTGACCAAATAGAAATGGGCTTACGCTTTTGGCCTGCCAGGATATTCTTTCGATGGAATTGCTCGCCTTTTTGACGGAGGGCTCCCCATGCTGGATGAATGACTTTGCACACCCCGGGATCTTAATTCTGTATACATTCGACAATCCCTGATTTGTAGACCTGTGCCGACTTCTTTTCTCATTTCCATATCAATATCAAGTTTAATGGGCAGTAAGGAACCTGTCTCCTATGGTCAGCATTGGAGTTCTTTGAGGTTTATAGGCCAGACAATCTCAATCTTCTCACTTTCACTTTCTCATCACTTACCTGCTTACCTCAAAATTATCTGCCCACCTCCCAAGCCCTCCATTTTTCTCTTTCCTTTTCTTTTCTTTCAACTCAACCATCAACACCCCCTTTGTCTTTTTCATCCTTTTACCACAAAACATATTATATCACCTCTGATCTACGCCGTCATCCTCCCAACCTGTAATATTGCTGGATATTGGGAACATATGGTACCAGCCCTAATATATACAAAGGAAGAGGAAGACAGTTAGAAGCCCTATCAGAACTAGATAACTTTTCATATCTCTTTTTAGGCATCTTCTCTCTTCTCACTTCTATACGTAGGCGGTAGAAAAAGTTGGAAAATAGCTTAAAATGTGCAGACTTTTCATATATAACCTTCGATATTTTGAGCGCAAGACGTTGAAGTCTTATGAATAAAAGTGAAGCCGAAAGAAGTAGTTGCCCCTCGTATACAGTATGATATCTGCCTCTTTCGTCGAAGGAAATGAATAATATGTACATAATCATATGGTAGCATCCAGTGCATTCACCATGAAGGGACAAAAGAAACTGTATCAACCTGCGTAGATCAACCAGATAAGAACCAAGAGATGGAAAGGAAAAATAAGATCAAAAGACAAGAAGTTCCCAAAAGTTCCCGAAGACAACGCCACAACTAGATGGCAGTCATATCACGTATGTTTCATGAAATCACACCCAAAACTCCTCCCAATCCGCATAAACCGCAGTCTTATCCCTTTACCAAGAGTCATTCCACCGTCTAGACCAAGTGGGCAATTCCACCACCCGCAAAACGGTCAGGCTGTGAGATAATCGAGCCATGAGATATCTAGATCCGCTCTTGGTGTATCTGATATGCGCATAACCGCCACAGATCACGGATTTCGCGGCTTATTCATATTGCCATCAATCCGTCCACAGCTTGTACTGTCACGATCATCTCCATATTTTGCGTACGATCGAGCGACGCTTGGATCCGAATATGAAGTAGACGGGGTGCGACTCAGCAAGCCCGGAGATGAAAGTGCTGAGGAGCCGGGTGTTTCTGCAGATGCAGCTGTGGGATTCGCTGTTGCTCTGGCTGCGGCAGCTGCAGCTGCGGGGTTGCAGTGTGCACAGACAAAGATATTGAAGCCGCGACCGTTGCAGCTGAGGCAGATTGCTCCTCTGAGAATCGTTTTAGTATGGGATATCGATGTAAAGGGTGTGTTTTAGGGCTGATGTATACCTCGGGGCATTCCCAGCGCAACCCTTGCATGTGACTACCGTCCGCCCTCCGATGCACGATATGTGCTCGGGGTCAAGGTTGAGCAAGTACTGGGTGGAACTGGCCATTGTAATGGACGTAGAGGTATAGAGAAGGGAAATATTGGGTAAATGGTGCGACTGCAGAGAGGGAAGTATGATCAAGATCCACCTGATATAAAGTGCAGGTAGCTTTGTGGTATTCTTCCTTTCTCTCAGGGGTAAAACTATCAATAAAGAATATCAAATATACTGTGAATCCTAAAAGAGCAGTCAGGAACAAAGGAAGACAATAGTGTAAGCCAAAGTGTAACGAAGGCAGAAATGATAGACGGCGAAACAACGGATTTCTTATACAGGAAAAAAGGAATTCGTGCCACCGATGAACTTCCTGACAGTTTCCAAGTGTCACATATGCGATATGCACAAGGGAGCTTGGAATTGATGACGGGAATCGAAACTTGTGTCCACCGGGATGATCAGCAGGACAGAGAGAGGGACGGTGATAGGACGATTAGCCAGGTACATGATGTACATGGATATCTCATTTTCCCATATGGGGGCCATTTCAATCGTATTCTTCGGTTATTCCCGACCAAAAAGAAAAGAAAGTAGATCCAACATGAGAGAGGAAAGGCACAGAAACCGTTCTGGACTTGGCTGAGTTGTCAAACCCCGCTGCCCAGGTGCTTGTACCTGTCGAGCTAAGGTACCCAGCTGCGGAAATGCAGGGTTTATGAAACAGGAGCTGGTGGGGGATTCTGGTGTTTCTCGATCCATACGACCGGGCCTACGTCGTTCATACGTTTTGCAAAGGGTTCATTCGCTGGTCATTCTGTGAGAGGGTTTTTAGAGCAGAACACATGCAGTGAAACTAAAATGCCACCACGTTAGCAAATAAAACTTGATCTAGTGTTAGGCAGTCGTTCATGGGCAGCGGAAAAGATGTCCCAGGAGCATGGCCGCCACATCGTGACACGCACAAAATCTTGACCGCACAAACTGGGTATACCATTATCCTCGTGGGTTAGGACTGTTGACATGTCCACGAGTATGGGATGTGGGATTCCAACCACGGATAGCTGCATTGGACCATGCGATTATGACCTACGAAATGATGTATAGATGATACACGGCCATGCTGGGTGGATTCCCGATGATTTCTCCGGTGGATGTCTCTCAGCTGTCATATTTTCCAGTTGAGGATGATCTTCCCATCTCAACCGAAAAGGGTAAAGGTCAAATCGCCATGCATGGAAGTTGGAGTTGACAGTCAGACTGTCACCGAGGTTCGCCTAACATATACCTGATCAGGAACGGTGTGTAGTTCAAGGGATTCTACGGAGTGCAAGGTGTATTGAACAGTAAGAAAAGTGCGCAGAGACAATCTCGTGCAGGGATCAAATCGATGCAATGATCTCCATAATCCGCATATCACATTGATAATATTGCGTCGTAAGCACAATCTCCGATAAGCACAGCCGGAGAGAGCGGATGCAACTGACAGGTGTATGTGGTGCCGACATAAAGAATCTGAAAAAAAGAAAAGAAAAAGCTGCTGTAATGAGAGGTGAAAAGAAAGCTGTGTGAGAGGTGTGAGCAACCAATAAGCAGAAAGAAGGAATCAAAATTTGGACTCACGACCAATGAAGGCCAAGTTCACAGCCCGAAGCCCGAAGCGCCGTGGATGTGACATCGCTCAAGCAGGTAACCGTGGAGGTGCAGCTGCAAGGACAGGGGGAAAAGACCAAGAAAAACCTCCCCCTTTAACATTCTCATCTTAACATGGCAAGGATTCCTCGCAGCCGTTTGGCTTCCATTGTATCTTGAAGCGCTTCTGCAGATTGGTCACATGCAGTCTTGGATGTGGAAATGACACGCATCCATGAGCTCAAAAATTTCACACTCGGGGGTTTGCATGCGGTTTGCCAAACGATCAATGTAACCTAAATTCAAGTGCAAATAGTAGAAGCAACGGGTATGCGCGTCATTGGGGGCTGTGAGTTTGTATACTAAAATAATATCAGCCTCTTGGTGCTTTAGGAACCAAGACAGAGCCTACTCGTTCAACCAGTTCGCTGTTAGGGAACCTGCAGCCAGCGACTTCCAATCACGCGCTAGTCCAGGATTCGAAGTCTAGAATTTAAACTCGCGCTGGAATCGAGGCTTCGCATGAGCGGCAAGTCCCGTCAATTATTAGAAATTTCCATGTCCTAAGCCATGTGAGACTTCCGAAGGTTGTCCTGGAACCAGAACGTTTGTAAATAGCCTTCGGCAATCAGTGTCACGGTTGAACCCCAAGGATGCCGAGAGAAAAAGCAAGTAGCAAATTCATGAGGTTGCACGTAAATGGGAAAACAAAGACTCAATTGCGAGTCAGCTGATATGAACCTATAGGATACCTGCAGGCCGGTTCCCATTGTCGATGCAACAAGTCTAGATCACCTTTTCTGTGGGAATGTTGCGATTCATCTCTATAGAAATGAGATGACTAATTTCTTTTCCTGGCAATTTATACATTGTATATGCAGATATAAAAGATCGAGCACTGCAGAACATCAGATACGAGTCTCCGGAAATTGGCACTTAAAGATCACTTGAAGCATAAAATGAGCTCACAGTCGAGGCAGATGCTGACATCCGGCGACAGTAGAATGATATCACGGTGCATTTTTAAATGAGACTACCACAAGAATAACCAAGCTCGGTACCTGACAGGCCCGAGATGGGATTAGATGATACGTACCTAGTCAAAAAAAAATAAGGGTTGTCATTCTCCATTACGATCTGTATAGCTATCACATTGAAAAGCATAAGGCGCTATGTAACGTTCCCATCTTCGAGTCACCGTAGCTGACCCAGCTAATGGTTGTGTGTGAAGCCATGGTAAAGAGGGAAAAGCAAAGAAATAGGGCAGAAACAAATTAACCAACCAATAAAACGCCCAGCCGTGGCGGCTCCCATGGCCAACACGGCAGTGATCAGGTGAGGACCTCGTGTGCTTGCTCATAGGCCACATAAAAACAGCGGAGGGGGGAGAGGAAAACAAACAAGTACCCTGAATCCATCCTTCCACGCAAAGCCAGGACGCCTGGGTAATACTGAATTCATAAAATCGTTGAAATCACGCCGAAAACTCATGTTTCAGCGTTAAATCATAAAACATGGAAAGGCAAAGAGCAAAAGAAACCGAAGCTAAGTGATTCCGATCACTGGAAGTATTCATTTGGCAAGGCTGCTAGTACAGCGATGGTTCCCAGACCACCCAGTAGAGCACTGACAACAGCCGTGGTGGCGTGGCTTGCCAAGGACTTTGAGGTTGAGTGGTCAGCCTTGATTCGCTTTGCAGGACGCTCATTCTCAGCAAATGCAGACACATTCTCGGCAAGTGCAGAGCTGATCGCATCCTTGGCTTCAGAGGAGATTGTGTTGAGGTCGAGATCTGGCTGACTGGTTGGCTCTACAGGCAGCCGTTGAGCATCTTGAGAGAGACTGGATTCAAGAGATGACGATTGCATCTCTGCTGCAGTACGCTTCAAAGTTGATGTTCTAGGTGTTGCCAGGTAGGGCACACAGACATCTTCCACGGGTGCATTGGTCGAGAAGGGTCCATCCTGATAACAATGCTCGAATTCATGGGAGAAGGACGGTACCCCAACAGTGCTCTCGATCTTCCGTTGCATTGGTGGGTATTTGTTCTGGCATGAGCTTGGCAGCTCACTGGAAACAGTGTGTGTCGGGAACCGAGCACCTGGGTTCGTCATACCAGGGGCATTTTCTATCACCAGTGGTTTGCTCTCGTTCCGTGTGGGGTTCAGCGGCTGGCCGGCAAGAGCCTCGTGGTACAGTCCATCTGGGCCAGATTCCTCGGGAACATGCTTGGACACTTCGACGGCATCAGTGTGATTGGTGCATTCAAGCTTCTTCAAATACTCCAAATTAAGCGAGGGATATATTTGCTTCTGGGCAATGCGATGTTCAAGATGCTCATCCTCAGAGGAACAATCAGAGTCGTTTTCGGATTCATCAGAGACCTCATCATGTTCCTCCAAGTCCTCGTCATCATCTTCCTCAGAGTTGTCTTCCTCGGAGTCTTCTTCCGACATTTCACTGCCAGCTCCGTGAATCGATTCATTATCGAACATCCCATACGGACATTGGCCGTAGTTCTCTGAGATTGAATCACTAAGACCATCTGACTCAGACATGTACCCCTCACTTCCCTGGGCCTCTTCGTTTGAATCAACGGACTCGTCATCAGCGAGCCAATTTTTGTCGAAATTTGGATCCCAGTAAGGAGCTACATCGCAGCGCCGACTTCCGATCATTCGGGGCTCCCAGGCCCTCACGATCCAGCATTTGTGACAATCGTCAACCTCGGTTTCAGTCTCGAGCTGGCGCTTCAGTTCCTTGCTGAGAAGCTCCAGTGGCTTTTCAACAATCCACCACAAATTGCTCACATGCTGGCCCTCTTCCTCTTCATAGATGATCCAATACCTTCGCTTATCGACTGACCAGTACCTAAGAAGGCTGCCGGGCATACGATGGAACGAAGTGTCTGATTCCTCGGAGTCCGGCTCCCAATAGACTTCTGTCCCAACGCAAGGTTGGAAGCTAGGGGAGTCATCTACCCAGTACGAATCCTTGGAAAGAGAACAACGGCGCGCAGCGTGGATGATGCGCCTGTCATGGTCAACATCGGGTATTATGTTGGATTCACCCCAAGCCATGTCTGCCAGGCGCATGAACATAGGCCGCATCATGGTCCAGTTGCTGTAATAGATTTCTGGTACCTTCTGGTAACAGACTGCAGGGAGGCCATTTGCGTCATGTGCTTCTTCCGCGGATGGAGTCTCGGTAGAGGCCGGTTTTGTGGGAGATATTATGGCGTCTGAGTCCAGGTTGGCAGGAGATAGTTTAGTGTCGGAAACCGGATTGGTATCAGACAGCGGACTAAGAAGATCCGGGACCAGTGGTGTGGGACCGGGCATAACCTTTGTGGTAGACTCATCGATTGGAGACAAGCGTCTCGATTGGACCTCCGGCTCATCCTTTGGAAGTTCGTCGCTCTGGACACTCGAGACAGGAGAGACTGGAGAGACTGGAGACGTACCCACAGGCTGCAGAACAGTGGTTTCCCAGGATCGAGCAACCGACTCTTTAGAAGAGTCATCACTAGGGAAGTCGGCAGGCTCGATATCGCTATCGTCTTCGGGAACAGAGAAACTGTTGGTTGACGGACTTGGATCCAGTTTGATAGCAACTTTATCAAGTGGCATGACCACATGCTGGGGTTTAAGCCACTCAACCTTGCAGCAGACTGAGATGGCCTCAAAAACTTCTGTACTTGGTTAGCTCCAGTACTATCGGACTGAGATTGATGACTTACCCTGGCCACGGTCCACATCAACACCAAATCGGATGATATCTCCACTGAACAGCGGGGTGTCCACATCTGTCACCAGCTTCGCATCATTCAGAAAGGTTCCATGTGTTGAGCCACAGTCAGAGATGAAAACCATCTATCAAGGATATCAGCTTGGCTATATGGTCAAATTTGGAGCTTCAAACTAACATTTTGGTCTGGCGGTATGTTAAGAAAGGCATGGTCACGAGACATGACCCGAGACTCAAACCAAGCGTTCTCTGCTGCAGGAGACCGTTTCCGAGTTTCCCGCTTTGAGGCACGTCCGATCGCAACGGTTATGTCGTTGTCCGTGAGGGTGAGGGTACGCAGAGGGTAGGTGTCTTCGAAAAGGGGGGCAAGCGTCACGGCGACTGTGAATTCGAGATGTTAGTTATAAACAAAGTGACTGTTAAGAGTTCCGAGTACTTACCGCGTGGGTCCGGCATGGTGAAAGATATATCAACGATGGTGCTGTGTAGGATTTGAAAAGTAGAAATAAGAAGCTGTTTGTCTCTAGACGATGGTTAGGCTGAGAGATGAAGTTTCATGATAGCAGAGACCATGGCAGCAAGGTAGAATGAATAACAAAGTATGGGGAGATGAAGGGTGGCGGGGGGAGATTAGGAAAGTTGGAGACAAAGGCAGCTTACCCGGGTGTTTCCAGGCTGCAACGTGATCACATGGACCAGTTGAAACAGCCGGGATATAGCAGATTTGTTGCAGAAAGTAGTTTGCAAGCAAAGAAACTCAGAATAGCGAATATGAAAAGTCGTTCAAGGCGCAGAAGGTGTGGAAGAGGAAAGGAAGGGAGAGAGGGGTAGGTTCATGAATCAGGTCGAAGTTAGGTTCACCGCTGACAAGAAGTTTGGGAGTGAGTAATCCTTTGAAATGGAGCTCAACTCAGTCCTTAGTTACCGGCAAATCTACTTGGAATTTAAGAAGTCAGGATTCAACAAGAAACTAAGAAGTCAACTACCCGGAAGCTCAGGAACAATGAGGTATGTATGAGAAGTGATAGTATAGATAAGCAAATGACGCCGTTAGGCTTATTTCAACACACATATACCCTGGCTTATACCCTGGCTCGACAGTTCCTGACTGGACACAAACCAGCTAAATAGAGATAGTACATATCAACTTACTTACTGAATCTTTTGACGATTCAGTCCCTTTCTTCGATGTTGTATAAGAAGAAAAAAAACAAAGATGCCGATAAGGGGTGGGGTCAGCTGATGTGGGGACAACACGTCATGGTCATCCGTACATGTACACGAACTATGGGCACTACTATATAACTACCCGCAATAGCAATGGAAGCATTTTAGTATACAATAGTAATCTGATCTTAATGAGCACTCGCATTTTCTTCTATGGTACACAAATTACTACATGGTCAACCCCCAATGCACTTACCCGGGCTCGGGTTGCCGTCCATCGGCCCATCCTATCCCGAGTCCTATCTCAAGACCCAGTACCAAAACAAAAAGAAAAAAAGAAGGCAGACGGGGAATATGTCAACCAATTGTAAATACACGCAGAGATAATAGTAACCGGGGATCCAAAGATACCGAAACCGGAAAAGAAAAAGGCTTAGACAGAAATACCCAGACCGGGATAAAGAAAGAATCGAAGAATCGAAGAGTGAAGATGGTCCGCGAACTTGCTTACATGCCAGGGGCGCCACCGTTCATGGCACCCATGGTGTTCAGGCGGGCAGCTAGCTGGGGGTACTTCTCCTGAACCTCCAACTGAGTGCGGGTGGCCTCGGCATAGGAGATGGCGTTGATGATCTCAGCCTCGGTGCGAGCCAGCTCGGCAGCGCGCTCAAAGTACTTGAGAGCCTGGGAGACCTTGCCCTGCTGGAGGAGAAGCTGGGCCATGGTGCCGACAGCAATATCGCACTCGGGGTCAATGATGAGAGCCTTCTGGCAGAGGTTCTCGGCCTCCTGGAAGTCGTGCTTCCACTGGAACAAAGCGAGAGCCTTGTTGATCAGGGGCAGAACGTTGATTCCCATAGGCTTGCTCTGCTTCTCCATCTCGACAGCCTTGTCAAACTTCTCGATGGCCTCCGAGTAGTTCTGCTGATCGAGCAGAAGCTCGCCGTAGTAGTTGTATACATCGGGAACATCCTCAAAGTTCTTTACCGTCCGGCGGAAAGTGGCCATCGCTGAGGCGACGGAACCCATCTTGTATTGTGTCACACCAAGTTGGATGTGAGAGTAAATGAACGACCGGTCGAGGTCAATCGACTTCTGGTAGTCCTTGGCGGCCTCGGCAAGCTCAGTCAGGATGAAGTGCAGCTGGGCACGGTGGTAGTAGATATCAGGGTCGTCCTTGTTGTGAGTAATGGCAAGCTCAAAGTCATCAGCCGCAGCGTCCTTGTTACCAAGCTCCAGGTGCAAGCTGGCGCGCTTGATGTAGCTTTGAACCAGGGAAGGTGACAACTCGACACTCTTGTCCAGGTCGGCTAGAGCGCCAGTGGCGTTACCGCCGAGGTAGGTAAAGGTGGCTCGCATATTGAGGGCCAATCCTTCAAATTCACCAAGCTCGCCGAGCTCAAGTGCCTTCTCGAAGGCGGTGGCAGCCTCTTCGTAGCCATCGGCAGTCTTCTTGCCCATAGCGATGAGACCCTTACGCAGCTGGCCCTTGCCAGACTCATCGCTCAGCTCAACCGACTCCTCCAATCCCTCGGGCAGGACCTGGGGACGGAAGCTCTGGAGGTAGTTGGAGACAAAGGTGGCACTAGGCAACTTCTTGGTGCGCGCCTCCAGAATAGCCTGGCTCTTCTTCTCGGCAACCTTCTTCAGCAGCCGTTCGAGCGAGTTGCGGCTCACGTCGTTGGAGAAGGCATCAATGATACAGCTAGCTGTGAAGTCGAGGAGAGCCTCGCTGTACTTTTCAAGGTGCTCGTACGCAATGGCTCTTCGGTTGAGGGCCTTGACGTATTCGCTGTCCATGGCGAGAGCGGCGCTGGTGTCCTCGACGACCTTCTCCCAGTTGGACTGGACGTTGTAGCACGCGGCGCGGTTGGAGTAGAAGACGGGGTCGGGCTTGCAGATAATGGCCTTGCCGTACAACTCAATCGCGCTGGGGTAGTCCTTGATTCCGTAGGCCTTGTTACCGGCGGCCTTCAGCTTGGCCGCATAGGCGTTCCGGGTCTTACTTGTCAGCAAAAGTGTGAGAAAGAAGGTTACTTAACATACCTCTTCGGAAAGCTGTCCAACGGTTGCCTCATCCACTTCGGGAAGCTCATCGGTTGGCTCCTCTGCCTTTTTGGGAGACTCTGAAACCTTGTCAGTCATACGACCACCGTGTTTAAACGAGAGCACATACCATCCTTCACTGATGCAGCCTTTTCTTCCTCGGCCTTCTTCTTTTCTTTCCGTCGCTGGTTCTTGCTCTTCTTGGGTGCTGGGGGAGTGGATTTGCTGGAATCGTTCAGGTAGTAGACGACACCCGCGCCGGTCACGACAACGGCAACACCGGCAATAGTATAAACAACGGCTTTGTTCTCTGAGACCCAGTTGGTGATGCGATCCCAGACTGACGCCGATGATGACTCGGTCAGCTTTGATGTATCAAGCACCACATTTTGGGCGGTTGTAGGTAACGGCAATTCGTTCGACATGTTGTGTAAGGGAACCAGGCAAAGGACCGACGCGGCTAGTTCTGAAAATGTATGCAGATATCAGTATTCAATCGGTAAGTCAGGTGAGATTAGGCTGAGATGGAAGACAATGTCACTGACCAGACCTCGACAAAAGGAGTTAGAGATAGGGAAGTCGGGAATGATGAAGCTCAGAGGAAAAGTCAAGGGTTCCGCTGGCCGGGCCGGCCAATCACGCGCCCTGCGCCGGTAGCGCTCAAGTTCTCCACAACACATGTCCGGATTGAACAGAGTTGGCTCATCGGATCTTTTTGTATCATTCCCCTTCTTTCTTCTTTCATATCCGTCCAAAGCAACATCGTGTGGACTCATCTACTATTTGGCAAGACTAACTTGGTAACTATAGCAACGACCGAATTCAATTGGCCTTCGCAAAAATGACCGAGAACTCTTCAATCCCACAATCTTTCGAGATCATTTCCTCCCTTCGCTTTGACCCGGGCCTTTCAGATGCAGCTTGTCGCCATGCATCGAGCTATCCTGATCCTCTCAAATCCCCCTACTACCTCCTTGCCTATCACCAAGATCGGCTCATAGCTGCTGCGGCTCATTTCGAATGGAACGGGGCTCTGAACTGGCTGCAACAACAAGACTTGCAAGGCTTCGAGGAGTTCCTCGACACGTCGATTCCGGACCGAAGCAAAGCGTGGAGGCTTCGGATTGTAGTGAACAGCAAAGGGAAAGCGAGAGTTGAGGCGAACCCAACAGCGAGCATTGACCTAATGAGTCTGTTCATTCCCTCTCTACATACGAACCTAAGCCTGCCGATATGGCGCGTTTATGTCGATACCCAATCAACAACTCCTTCCGGCTTCACCACACATAAAACCACCGCGCGTGATGACTACACGTCTGCACGGCTAAGAGCGGAAATAAATTCGCTGACAGACCTTTCGGAGGTACTGATTGTGAACCCGGATGGCGAGATTATGGAAGGCAGCATCACTACGCCGTACTTCTTGCGGGACCATATGTGGATTACTCCCCCGCTGAGCAGCGGCGGCAATGCAGGTACAACACGGAGGTATGCGCTATCTCAGGGTTTCTGTCTAGAACACACCATATTCCGGGATGAGCTTGTGGATGGCGAGTTGTGTTGGTTGAGCAACGGTGTAAGGGGGTTTATTCGCGGTCAGGTCATAGCCAAGTAAGAATTCCCCATACTACATAGTATGTACATAGGCACCTATGTACGCACCTACTTCGATAGGTACATATGTCGACTAGTCAATATTTTAATGGTATTGGTGAATTGATGAAAAGGCTAGGAAATCGTGTGTATTTTGAAATTGACGGCTCCGGGAAATGTCCCTCGCCCTAGCAGGCTTATTTCTTAGCCTTCTCGACCACGACTGGGTTGGGATTCCCCTTCCACTCCAAGGGGCGAGGGCGCATGTACTCGGCCATGATCTCATCCGTAACCAGTGCCCTGCGCTCCTGGAATCCTTGAACATAAGTCTGTAGCTCGGCGATACACTTCTGCTTGATCTCGCCGGTCATCATCCTTCCACTCTCGTACTCGGTACGGATGCGCTCCAGCTCCTGGTCATCCTCGAGGAAGAATGTCAAGTACTGGAATGGGATATCGTTCTTGGTGTTGCCACCCAGTTCCCGCTGCAACTCCGCGGTGTCCTGGCCACCCGAGAAAGCGTGCTTGTTGATCTTGTTCTTGATCTTGTTAGGCGTGTCGTTCATGAAAATGGCGGAACTGTCGACACTGGCAGACATCTTAGATCCAGGGCCCTGGAGGGCAGGAAGGAAGATAGAGTGAATGAGAGAGGGCTTCTTGAACTTCATCTTCTCCGCATGTTCGCGACACTGGCGGAAGTAGGGATCTTGGTCAATGGCGCATGGAATCAAGCAAGGAATCGATGCGACCTTCTTCGTCTCGGTACCGAAGATGTGGGGGAAACTGGTAGAGAACGCCGCAGCGGACTGCGTGGCACAGAAGTGGAACTCGCCAACGTTGTTGCTGTCGTTAAAACCAAATGTGCCCTTGACTTGGTTGATTGTAATTCTCTTTGCCATCCGGCACATGTTCTCGTAGAAAGCACCACCAATGAATTGGAAATCACTGAAGATAAAGGTCTTCTTCATATCGAATCCAACAGCAATGATATCCTTGGCGTTTGCTTTTGTGTATCTCTTAGCGTCGTCAATTTCGATCTTCTGGGAGTGCATAAACTTCTCGTCGTCGGTCATCATGATAACGAGGGGAACATCGAAGACATCCTGGAGCCATCTACATTTGGATCAGTTTCCCGTGTCTGCCCAAGTGGTTATCAAGACTAACATACTTGGTGAATTCGAACGGCACAGTGTGTCCAACGTGCATGCTGTCGCTACTCGGCCCACGGCCAGTATAGAGGAAGAAGGGCTCGCCCTTCTCATGCTTATCCAGGATCTTCGACAGATCACGGTGACTGAACACGATACTCCGGCGCATGAAACGGTGTGGCCGATGGCCAGTCACTTTCTCAAAGCGCTCCAATAGAGCTGCATTGATGGGTGTGGCTCCAAATTCTCGGGTGAGCTTCTCATAGTCGACCGGCAACAACTTGCCAGATTCATCGACTCCGCCGGAGACATCGAAGGGCGTCACGATCTGGCCAACAACCTTGGTGTCTGGGGTTTTCTCATCAATGCTCAACGAGTTGAGCGCCGGAGGCTGGATTGCTTCGTTGGCCATGATTGTTTCTTAGTCTGGTAGAAATTGGTTAATTCTATGTTTTCAATTGCAGCAGTCAAAGGCCAGTCCTCACTTTATTTTATGGTCGAGGAAATCGTGAATTTCTTCTGTTGCCCCTCTTGGAATATCGCGGGATGAGTCAGAATTCCCGCTATCAGTGGGCATTCTGATTGGTCAAATGTTACACATATCAGGTGACCGTCTCTAACCCCGCGAAAGTCTTCCTTTGTGCTTCTTAATGCTTTCTTGTTCAGTTAAATTTGTGTTGATCAAAGTGCGAGGCTCTCTATTAAATGAGGTAGACGCATCTGGTGTGTCTTCATTGCATTCAAAGTCTCTATTTGTAGATATAGTGCATGACGAGCGATCCGCCGGAAGTATATATACCTCTAGGTTTCGAATACATTGTTCACCAGGCTCAATACGAGGATGCCTTGCTGTGGGTGAATATTCTTGTATTTTCCGTTGACAATGCCCTGTCACGATTCTATAAATGAGAGCCTGCAAACAATCGTGGGTGCGCACAGAAACCTGCTAACATTTCGCTGAAATGCTCGATTTTATAGGCGAGAAAGCTACGGATATCTTGGTCAGGGCTGCTAATTAATGGTGAGTACAGTATTTATTGAACCTGCTTTCCTTAACACCTAGTTAAGCACTACAAATTCATACATCTAGAGTGGGATACTGTAAAACTGAGATTTTCAAAAGATATATTTTCCAAGTAGCAATACGAGTACAGCAAATCATGACCAGAAGCAACCGCCTTCTTTGCCCAAATTCATCGCTAACCACAAGGCAGAATCAAGAAAGACATGTGCAGACCTACAACTCGTACGGTGACTCCATCAACTCGCCTTCTGGGCATGCGGACAGAAAACGAGCTCCGCCCACCATAGCACCATCCCAAATCGAAGGGTCACTCAGTTCCAGGTACATTACTATTTTCTGCCGGCAAAAAAATGTTGTTCGTGGCGGTCCCTAAAGCCTCTCGTAGATACGTCAATTGAGAGTGACTGAATGTAGTCCGAATTGGGATATTTAGTTGCCAAGTAATTTGTATTCAGCCAACGGCACAAGGGCCATGCAATGCAACTCCAATCTTGCTTTTTCAGGTGTCAGGATTCTCACCAGAGAGATTCAATAAACACACTAAAGCTCCACTAGACCTCTACCGGCCCGCGTTCCTCGTACTGTACCCTAACCTTTTGCACATTTTTCATGTATATAAAAATACGTCGCGGAACACCCATTGGCCTATCTAAGACCTGAATACTAGTGTTAGTGCGTACTGTATCCTCGGAATGGATAGGGTTGGGTTCTGCAGTAGAATGTTGTGGCGCGGCTGGAAAGTCCAAGGGGGTTTGATATGAAATATATACGGAGTATATTTTACAATACAACTTCAGTTCTTGAAGACCCCAAATATTCGAGGCGCCCTATCCACTGTTGGAACCTCAGTCATAGGACATGCCTATTTCCACTACGTCTCATCAGCCAGTCAACACTCTACTACCGCTGGCGTGCTAAGTGGCAAGGGAATAGTTAATGCAGATTTTCACTAGTTGTGCAAATATTCTATATTTCAAGTAAATCTTGCAGATCATTCAAGTATGTAGATATAATGCAGATCATTGCGGTAGCCTTTGTGAGTGCTGCATCCGCTACTCAGTTTCGGATCCATGTGGATGACGAATGGTTAAAAGGTTTTTATAACGGGACAGCTTCACGTCCCCAACGAGGTGATGGTTGATCATACGTTTGTGAGTATATACGAAATATGGGAGATAACCCCTCAAGAGGCGGCTATGTTCTTGAGAGCCTTGGCGCTTCCAGATACATCTCTTGTGTCGAGAATGATTGTCAGCTTGCTGAGCAGCCACAAATCTTTCAACTGGAAGAAATCATAAGATGAGAAATTTATCGTCAGGAGTAGCGCGGATCCCAACTTGGCCTGGGCTGCGCGTTCTGATGGTGGTAATGGCCCGCTCACGCTTTATCTACAAGATGGCGGCAGCGAACTGTTTTATTTCGAAGAATTGGGGGGAAAATGCTTTCATCTGTTTAGTGGTACGTGTTATTGTGCGAATCACATATGATCACTGGTAAGATCTAGGGGTTTACGAAAAGAAAGGCTCTCTGGAAAAATCCTTTGAATGCGTGAAGAGAGAAAGGAGACTATCTACGTGTGTAGATATTGGTGGGAGCAAACAAACAGAAGTCACCCGACTTCTGACAAAATCCTAAGGATTCAAGGACTTGATGCCACCATCGAACCGTTTTGCCCCTAGAATAGAGCTAAAAGCTCAGGCTCAGTGGTCGACGTTGTGACAGTCTTCTGTTTTGAAGCTTTCCAGTCAATGGGTCCACCATAGAGCTTACATATGTACCGGATAATGCCTGGCACTCAAGACCTTTCTCTTTCCGCTTTAGTGCTCACCTCTTGCCGCTTTTTGATCTCAGAGTAGAATTGAGCACGCCCCTGAACACTCTGACCCGCTCACAGATCATTACATAATCCGATCAAGCATCATGTAATAGTCACATGAGCAAACTGATCCACTCACTGATCATCATATGAGCTCTCTGATTTGCTCGCAGAGTAGGACCAGAGTGGGGCATTGAACGCACTGAGTAAGCTACATCAATAAATTGCGACATGTTAGTTTCATCACGTGCACTTAACCTCTCTAAACCGTCCCCATTTTCCCATCAAAAAAGTACTGGCGTCGTCAACGCGACCGGTCGTTCTAACGATCTCTTCCTATCCAAGTGGCAAACGACAGTGTAACCTGTTGGCCCATCAATTTTCCAAACTAACCTTTGCTCCCAGGATTACTTCGTTTATTAGCCCCACACCTTAATCGAGCTCCGGGCTTGTACTCGAGCGAGTGCGAGTGGTCGGATTATCCTGAAGATCTACAATATTGCCCTGTAACAAGTCTAGCTAAGGGAACCAGTCTCAGCTGGTGATTACAATGAGCTACCCTTTTGCCAATCAGCGCAAATATTTGAAGGGTTTCCAGGGCGTGTAACGTCATATTTTTACACCGTTGCTGAGTAGCTTCGAGGCCCGCCGTGCGCTCCCAGGAGCCAAATATATTACATTAAGAGACCTATAGACTAGTTTATTTCAGCCATTGATTGTCGGAGCATGTCTTAAATATGCTTGAAACAGCCTTTGAGTTTGCGACTATTTCCAAAGGCCCAGATAAAAGATACAAGTGGGCTTCCTTCTGGTATAAGTCGTGTGGTCCTCAAGATATCATGCAGGTGAATTGTAGCCGTTAGCGATGAGCTTCCTCAAGAATCGAGAGGAGGCAGATCTGTTTATGAACCCCCAGGTATGATTTCACTTACCAAAGTTCACTCCAATTTACGTATGCTCTTTATATTCTTCCCCCCAAGCAACGTAGGGAGGTGTTAAGATCTCGTGTGCTTCAGTTAAGTGAGACGTGCCAAAGTCTATTCCCCTACCACACTATAGACCGATCAACATATTCAATACCAAGGGTCCAGAAGCTCACCCTCCTGGTAGCCTAGTAGTTAAAACTACTGACCCAGATTCCTAGAAGGGTCTAAACTCGTAGCATCGATTTTATTGACCCGAAAGAGAGAGTGGGAAGGTGGAAAAGAGCCATTCTTCCCTCACCATCGAGCTGATACATAGTTTGACTGTTTAGCATCGGGCCTACTACGGTTATATAGAGAGCATCATGTGCAGGTTCTCGTTTATATCATTCACTCCTGACTTTAGGGAGTCCGTTTGCCCTGTAGTTTCAATCTGTACCTTCAAGAATTTAGGTGGGGTGTGGAAGATGCATCTGATGGGCGAAAGTACGGTAGCCTAGTAGGTTTGACTTAAAACGATAACAAAAGGCCCCTTTTTCCGGCTGCTCAGCCTTTGTAAAGGTTTACGATTTCCAGGTGTAAGGCCTGTCAACCGGGTAAGATACAATGACTTGGAGAGGAAACGAGGATATATTGTCTGTGTGTGCCAAGACTAACTCTTGCCAAAAGAAGAGGGGATTCAGGGGAATCCTGGACTATGTGTGTCCCCATGTTCACGTGGGAGCCATGTGACTATTCCTTGGCAGTTCGTTCCTGATACATGATCGATGCGGGTGCGATCAGGTGATTCCGTCTCCATGTTGTAAGGATATTTATCCGTTACACTGCACTATAGATAGTTATAATATAAACCATTAATAATTGAAAGTTAAAACCCTAATTCGAAGCTGAACCCATGATATGCACTAAATCCTCCTATAAGGGCATACATTAATGAACTTCTGTTTTATAATTACGAGAGAATACAGCCTATTTCTACATAATTTATGTAGTTGACCCTAAGTCACGTTTTTTTACCTATTTATCATGCTTATTGAACCTCAGGTTCACCCGCGGGTAACCTCCATGAGGTTCGGTCCAAGATAGAACCGCCCGGAGGTTCTAGGTCATGGAACCTTAACCTCCGGGTGGGTGAACCTCCTTGAGGTTCGTGAGGTTCACCCGCGGTTCCTAGCCAGGTCTACCTATTCTATCCTAGCTCTGAGAGCGAGTGCTCCTTTAGCTGGACCGGACTGGACCCCCTATCCCCTGACACCTGCGCCGATGATATGTTCCTCTACGTGTCGGCATTCTTTCTTTTTAAGCGCGTGGACTGGATAGAAATCCGGCTCAGTAAGCTTAACATAGTAAATAAAGAGGTCGTGGAAGAGTACCCGTTTTTCCTTCCACGGGTTAAATCGATGCTGGGAAATCTACCCAGAGCCCGTGGTTAAATACATGATATCATATTACAGAGTAACTATGTGGAAAGTGTTAGAGAAACCCGATTCTAACTGTTAATGTGGCCACGGACTGAGAGTTCACAGAGCTCTGCTATGTAGGGTGCGATCCCTCCCTCTTATATCGACTCTTCCATGCATCTATCTTCACTTAACCCGCAGCGTTTTATGCAAAATATTGTAGGAAACTGGGGGATGTGAGTGATCTTACCTGGATGACTTCTTATTGGCTTTTATAATTAATAGGGTTTGCCACTTATATTAAGGTAGTTCGCCTCCCGTTCAGTATCAGGTTTATAGCTATGAGGTTTTCCAGGCTCTCCAGTCACTTTTTGACTTCTATTAAGCTTCATGCGTCACCAATGGAATAACCATGGCACCATAATCATAAGCAATAAATGTCAAGCCTTGAGAGGCAAATTTCAAGTAATCGATTCCTTGCTAAAGAAATGCTGATAAACGTGCCGGCGTTTTATGTCCGCTTACCCAAGGGTGACTTTCTCCTATATATACACTCGGTGTTAATTAACAGACCTGTATTCTAGATCCATGGTTACGGTGGTTCTAATCTTACTCTGGTCAAGTAGAACAAGATATTTCGACTTTTGCCACCAAAGAGAAAAATTCCATAGCTTTCATCTTAGTAGATAATAGCGGCATCTCAACTCACAATGGAAGAGATCGAGGACCAAATCGGCTATCATTTCAAATCGGCTATCATTTCAAATCGGCTATCATTTCAAATCGGCTATCATTTTGAATCAAGCAACCTGCTGCGAGAAGCTTTGCACCCGACCGGGACCGCTCCATGGCAAGGCAACAAGCGCCTAGCTCTTGTGGGTGACCTTCGGTATCCACCAATGCTGCTGTTCCGACATAAGTTGACTACCCGAGGCCAGGGCGGAATCTCGACGCGTGCGCGGCATCTAAACAAGCAGTTCTACAAATCTTGAGCCCCATTCATGAATCTGCAACACATTAGCGACTGCTGGACGATATAGCATGTCGAATACACTGACATTTGGTGGCATCATCAGAGAGAAATGATTGCCGTCAGCGCGAATAACGTCCACGCTTCCGCTTCCCAAAAGTTCATCCCACCCAAAGGAGCTTTCACCTGGACGATCGTCCAAAAACCAGTCCGCGATGTTCTGCTCCTCTGGTAGAACTTTTGGTCTTGAGATTGTGCTTTGTTTGTCCACACCCTCCTTCGCCGAAATGAGCACAACTCGCGGGATCTTCCTACCTGGCAACTTGCTTACTCGGTATTTCATGAGCTGCTGTCGTGACAAGGTGAAGTGATCCGTTGTTATAGGAAGGCCTTTGCTCTCTTGTCGGAGCTCGGCTTCATTGACCATCCCGACCCTGTCAATTGAATTCAAAAAGCCGACTATGCTATCTGGAAGGCAGGTCCCGAGGGTCGGACAGATCGTGTCGATCAGGAACAATTTGTCGATCTCATTTTGACACTCAAGAAGCTGTCTCGCTGCTTCATAAGTTACCACGCCACCGATAGAGTAACCGGCAAGTATATAAGGCCCCTTGGGCTGCCGACGCTTGATCTCAGCAACATAAATCCCGGCAAGCTCCTCGAGAGATGGTTGGTGGTTCAAATCAGGGATACTTTTGAGGAAAGGGCTATTGAGCGCGTAAACCGAGAGCTCTGCAAGAGGAGCGAACAATGGTTGGAGTGCGGCGAACACTGCACCAGAGCCAAACCCATCGGGGATCAAAAAGGCGCTGCGGTTCACTGAAGCGGAAGCGCGGTGTAGCAGCACCGAAGTTGCTTTCGTTACAGATGATGGCGATACATCGTTCACCATTCCACAGAACACTCGGACATCTCGGGATTCACGACTCGTGCTTTCGGACCAACCAACCTGTGCGAACCCTGCGCTATGCATTTCTCGCTCCCAATCCCATGGGCTCTGGAGCGGGTAAGTGCGGTCGTCGTTGAATAGCCACCACCCATCTAGAAGGCCCCAGACCAGTTCATACCAAGCAAGTCTTTGCGTTGCTTCGACCAAAGCTACACACCCATCTGGCCGTATGAGCTTGCGAATGTTAGTCAGGCTATCCCGGAGATTGTGCGTGGCATGGACACAGTTTGTCGAGAGGACAATATGATAACGTCCCAGAAGCTCCTCGGGGGGTCTTCCTCGATATTCAGCTTTCGGAAGTCCACCCCCATAATACCCTTGAATGTTGTTCTCCTGGCGCGTGCAAGAAGGGATGCAGAGATCTCACTGAAGGTATAGGTGAACGGCAGCCCGGTAGCTTGGAGCGCCGGCACAAGATGCTTGGTTGTACCACCTGTACCAGCGCCGAGCTCCAGAATCTGCAGAGCTTCGCCGCTGGAGCCAGAACTTCGTGCCTGAATGGCCGCAGAGAAGAAGTCGCACAAAACCTTGGTTGCAGCATTGAGATCTGGTGCATGGGCATAATAGTCTGCGAGGAGGCTGCGACCCTGTTCGTTGCCGAAAAGAAGGGAAACAGGATCGGTTCGTCCTGTCAAGCACTCCGCTAGATGGGGCCCAATGAGATGAAAGAGACCGTGCGACGACTTATATTGCGGGAAATCAGCAATCAGTTTCACAGTGAGTTGGTCACCGGTATTTTCTTCGAGAGGCGCTGAACCACGCACGAACACTCCTCCTGCCTTTTCAACAATGCCAGCCTCTTCAAGGATCTCCCACAACCGTGGAACCTCTCTATACCACTGCGGTAATGTCTCTTGTAACTCCGGAAGTCTCTCTCCCTGGTTAAAAGTCCGAATAGGACAGTTGAGCTTTTCAAAGGCCTCCGCGATGAATGCAGCCACAGATGCCAGCTGTTGTGGGTAAACGTTGTCCCAGAAGCCAGTTAGGTTGTTGTCCCTGGCATGGCCATCAAACCCCCAGCGAGCTTGCTGGAAGCTTTTCCACAGCAATAGCGTATCACTTTGGCTTGGAATTCGCTTCTCGCCGTCCCGTGGGCCGGTTGAGTCCTCGTCTGAATTCGACAATGTACTGGCCGATGATATCGGGCTTAGAGGGGAATCATGAGAGGCACTCGAGCTTTGCCCGTTGATCTGAGCTATGCCCAGGGTTACAGCAAAAAAATTGCATAGCGATTCCACGTTCTCAACAGAAGCAAAGTCTGACGGGGAGGTACTCAAATTAAACGCACCATTCAGGTTGCTGACGATCTCTGCTTCGACCAGAGAGTCCACACCCAAATCTTCCATCCTCGAATCCATCTCGATATCGGAAACATCTAGCCCAAGCGATCGGCTCAAGATCTCGAAAATGGTTTTTTGCCAAGTCGGTGGCGGGTCATTGGGTATTTGATTGCTTGATACCGGTTTTGAGTCCCCAATGTTCTCAACCTTGTTGGGTTTCGTGAATCCAATTCTCAGCTGGTTGGAGATGAGCTTGCACAAAGATGTCACATCTGTAACCGTCGCAAAAATATCCGTTGCGATCTCTATATCGAACTTGGCAGTCACAAGAGCTAGGATCTCAGACCCAACGAGCGAGTCTGCCCCGAGATCTGCCAATGATGCCTCCTTGGTGACCTCCGATATTCCGACATCCAGGGACTCGCTGAGAAGAACTTGGACGCCTCCAAACACATCCACAGAGCTTCCCTTCCTCTCGACTTGCAAGGGCTCAGACACATCCTTTTCAGAGGAGAATTCGGGAGACTTGTTGGGCGTGGGCGGAGGCAGAACAGTAGCAGCTGGTAATTCAGTCAAATTCTCTGCAACATTCGCCGGACTCGCCGCTGCTACGACCTTGCCCAGAGTCTTTCTGGGCACTCGAGCAAACGAAAGACTTTCAGCTGACCAGATCATCTTCCTTGTTTCTTTGTCGAAGGCAGAAACATCCAGCAGAACTTGATTCTCGTCCTCTTGAAGAACTTTCACATAGACTCGATACCTGCCACTGCCCTGGAGCTCACTTAGCGGAGTAACACGGCCCATGCCTGTGCAAATACAAGCCATATCAGCGTCTCCGTCCCCTTCAATACCACGCATAGAATGCACGAAAGCACCCGCCACTTGCAAGAAATTGTCCATAAGCACTGGGTCCGCAATTTTGCTGTTTGGTGATGTAGCGATGGCTCCTGAGTCTTGCACTGGCATCTTGATCTCGCCTGCTCCCTCGGACCCTTTGCCGACCAGATACTTGATGCCTTTGTAGGCCGGCGAATATTTGGCCATTGTTCCAAACACCTTGTACACCATCGTCCCGCGCAAAGATTCTGTTTCTTCATCCTCGTCCAGAAGATAGGAAATGCGATCCCATTTCTCTCTATCGTCAGAGTTGCCGTCAATCCCATCATGGACTTTTTGTTGTAAGCGAATGATGCCGGCGCCATGCGAGTTTGACTTCCCTTTGCCTTTGGTGGATGACAGCTCGAACTCCCAGGTACCTCTTCCTTGGCTTGTGAGAGATAGCTTGACTTCTCGCTGTGTGTCCAGGCCGAGGGGCATTTTGATCTTCAATTTATCACTTGTAATCTTCCAGGAAGTGCTGGGATTGGCCGCATCTGGCAATAGCAGGAGTGCATGTGAAGCCAGCTCCAGGTACATACCCGCTGGACATATCGGGGATCCAACCACGACATGACCACTAACAAGGTCCTGATAGCGACGACTTCGTATGTCGACCTTGAACACAAACTGGACTGTGCCGTTGCCTCCAGATCTGTCCAATGCAATATAAGGAAAGTCGCTTGTATTCTTCAAGCAGTGAGGGCAGGTTGCAGGTTGCTGATTTCCTTGCTCATCGGTGCTTTCGCTTTTGCTTGCGAGCCCAGTATACTTGACCCAATGCTTGGATTGCTCGAATTGATACGAAGGCAGACTCACTGAGACATAGGCTGCTCTCTCCTCTCTGTGAAACGGCCAAAACTGCAAATTTGACTGTCCATCCTTCCATAGAGAGACAGTGGCTTCGGCAAGCGATCGCAAAGGATCTTTGGCACTGACTGCAATGAATTGGTGCTGGCTTTGGGACTGGAGAAGCGCATTTCTGGTCATGGGGACAATTGGACCTCCGATCCCAGCTTCCAGGAACGTGCATGGGCCCAGTCGACTTACAATTCGGGAGATGGCTTGAGTGAAGTAGACGGACCCGCGGGTATTTCGTGCGATGATATCTCCACCTGGGACATTCCAAGGGCCTTCATGGCATGTTTCAAAGGGGAAAATTGTGTCCTGATTGCAATTAGAAGATAAAGGGATTTTATAGAGCCAAAGAGCCAAATTCGCTGCCTACTAACCTGGTACTTGATCGCATCGCACAAATCACCGCTCTCATTTAGTATCGAGTCGACCAAGACGCAGTGGTACGCATGCATTCCTCTCATAACCTTGTACCGCACCTTCTCGCCACTTTCCTTTTTGTGTTTGAGGTATGATTCAAGCTTTTCGATGCCACTCGTGCTACCTGCTGCGACGTAATTATTAGGTCCGTTATAACACGCTATGTCGAGCCTGGTCTCAGCGTGTTCCCTTTGAAAAAACCCCAGGTGCGCACTGGGAGTGCAGCTCGCTGCGAGCAGGTCGGTTTCGATGGCAATCATTGCTCCTTCATCGGGCCCCCAAAGCTTCTGGATAAGGGCAGCGCGTCCTTTTTGGAATATTGCGGTCGTTATTTTACGTTTTCAATATCGGAGAAATTTCCAGCGCAAATCCAGGCTTACTCACTATGTTCGTGTTAGATTTTTCTGTCGCATGCGGTGGCTAGTTGCTTGGAAACCCCCAGGAAATAGAGAAACGAAAGACTTAACGTACCCAGTGACAAGTCTCATGCAGTCTTCTAGCGATATAGCACCTGAAACTGCCATCGCTGTCCACTCGCCCAGCGAATGGCCGCATACTGCGTCTGGAGTTATACCTGAGTCAATCCAAGCCATTCCACAGGCATACTGAATTGCAATCATGGCAGCGTGTCTGATAAGAAGATCGGCGTCCCCACCAATTCCCTGCAATGTAGCCGGCAAAAGGCTTGGAAGGCCAAGAGACTGCATCACGTTCTCGCATTCGTGCAAATACTTCCGGAAAAGCGCGGAACCATCGTACATTGCTTGAGTTCCTGGTACAACATTGCCATTCTGTCCGCTGAACATGAGAATGATCGGTTTTGGCTTTGACGACGCTGCAACATGCTTGTCCGGCACAGATAACTGGGCTTTCAAATCCTCAACTATGCAGGGAAACAGGGTCAGTCAAGCCATTTCCGAGCTAGAAACTTTGATTATGATCATTGGGCGGATACTACCTACACGATGTTGCCTTTGTGCAGAACGTGTGCTTGAGTTGACGGTTTTGTTTAGTTGCTAGTGTAAAGGCAACATGAGGCACCGTTTCAGGAGCGAACCAGCCATTTCGGATTTGGTCTTCGAGTTTCGCACAGTACGCGACAAGGCTTTCTCTGGATGCCGCGGAAATAAAGATCGGCCACGCCGCTTTGGCCGAATTAAGCCGTGGCATCTCTATGCGCGAAGGCATAGGAGCAGGTGCGAGAACGGCAAATGCATTGTTGCCCGAAGCACCAGCATTGTTGACCAGTGCCAATCTCCAGTTGTCATCCCAGCTTTGCAGAGATTGCGAAATAGCAAGTCCATCTGGCTCGAGAGGAGCGATATTTGGGTTCAAGGTTTGAAATTGAGCCTGTGGGGGTATCTTGCCGTGCTTCAGCATGAGCAACACTTTGATCAAAGACACCACGCCCGAAGCCCCTTCGGCATGGCCCACGTTCGGTTTCGTGGCGCCGATGTGCAAAGGATGTGTCCTATCTTTCGCCGTCATTCCGAGCGCTTGGCGTATTGCGGCGACCTCCACGGGATCACCGGCGCGAGTTCCCGTGCCATGGGCTTCGACGTAGGATACAGCTCGTGGACTAACCCCAGCGCGCGCGAGTACTTCTCTGTAAAGTGCAACCTGGCTCTCCAATACGGTGTTTGTGATGGTGGTATAATTGACGTTCTGATTATTAGCAGTCGCCAGCAAGACGCCTTGGATGTCATCGCCATCCTTTAGTGCTTTCGCCAGGGGCTTCAGCACCACCACACCAACGGCTTCGCCACGACAGTAACCATCTGCCAGTGCATCAAATGTCTTGCAGGCACCAGTATGGTTGGTGAATCCACCTGCCCGTAAAGCTTCGGATAGCACCGTGTTGGTAATGAGATTGATGCCACCCGCCACGGCCCGTGTACATTCCCCTGCCTGGATGGCACGGCAGGCTTGATGAATTGCCACCATAGCCGAGGAACAAGCCGTGTCGACAACATGCGAAGGTCCTGTCCAGCCAAAATAATGGCTCAATCGCCCGGAAACAAAGGAGCGGAGCATCCCAAGAGCGGCATAAGGGGAGGGTGAATGACAGGCCAGATTCAGTGCGTAATCAGGCGCGTTCATACCAATAAAGCAGCCCGTCGTGTCTTCGTTCTTCGTTTTGTCATAACTCTCTGGTTTTTGCCGCTTTCCGCCACCGAAACATCCGGCTGATTCTAGCGCATGGTAGGTGGTTTGGAGAAGAACACGTTGATGCGGATCAAGTGCCGATGCCTCGCGCTTCGACTTTTTGAAAAACTGATGATCAAATGAGTCAATTTCCGAAAGGAAGTTTCCCCAGAGCTTTCCTTTGGGGGCATCAGGAAATCGGTTGATGTCCATTTCCCGTGCCATACTGCGCCCCTCTCGAATCACCTCCCAGAAGTCCTCCAGTGTGTCTCCCGCTGCGGTTCGGCATGCCATTCCTACCACTGCGATTGAGTGCTCTGGATATTTGTCGAATCCGGAGGTCTGTGGCTCAGCGCGCGGTGTGACATTCTCCAGTATTGGGTGACGTGAGGGTTCGTCAGGCTGGAGCTCCAACACGCGAACGACAGCAACATTGTCTGTTTCAAGAAAGGTGATTCTCTCCAAAGCCAAGAGCGCCTCTTCTTTTGTCATCGCCGCAATTCCAGTAGATTGCATTCCCTTGTTGATCATCCGTGTGGCCGACTTGCTCCGTGCCATCAACCCCACATCGCGCCAACTGCCCCATTGAATTGACGTACAATTGTCGCCTTGCTTTCTCCTATACGTCGCCAGCTCATCTAAGAATGCATTTACTGGGGCATAGGAGAGCTGACCGGGGAATCCAACCAGTTGACCCACTGAAGACGCGAAGAAGCAAAAGTCTAGCTGTCCCGGCGGAAATAAGGTGTCGAGATTCAAAGCTCCAACCACCTTTGGCGCTAGCACGTCCGCGATATCAGAAGCGGTGCAAGTTTGAAGTGTATGATAACCCGCAATACCGGCCCCATGGAAGACTCCCTTCACTGGGAGAAGGTTCAGATCTTGAATAGCTTGGCCCAGGATTGAGTCTGCCCCTGGCTGACCAAGGTCAATACCAAGGATGTGAACTTGAGTCCCTCGAGCCTTCAGCTCGATGATCCGTGAGGCAAGCTTGTCGTGGTCTGGGTCTTTTTCTTTCTCGTCCAGATTCATATTGGACGATAAACCACGACGAGATACCAATAGAAGGCTTCTCGCGCCGCGCTCACACATCCATGTTGCAATCTCAATGCCCATACCTCTTGTCCCGCCCGTGATCAGATATGTACCATCAGGTCTCAGTCGCAGTTCCTTCTCTTCAATGCAGTCTTGGGGAACCGACTGCAACAAACCAATCTGTGGTACACCGTCACGGATTTTGATCACGTCAAACCCACAAGCATTTCTGATTGCGGAAAGGGGAAAGCCCTCTCGATCTTGCTCAAAAAGGCCGCTGAAGATTTCTGGTATCTCTGCTTTCAACACACGCGCCAAACCGCGAAGTGGCGCAAATCCCAGATCATTGACGCTAGAGTCCATGTTGGTGACAGAGATCAGCTTGTAACTCGCATGCATTCCTGAGGGGCATGGAGATTGACTAAATTTCTGCATCATCTGTGCTGCTGCAACCAGGCTAGCACATGATTTTGTGACAGCATTATATATACCATTCCTGTCTCCTGATAAAAGAGGAATATGAACGACAATATTACCAGTCACTAATTCCGGGTCAAGTTCCGAGGCATCATTAACAATGACTATCTCCAGGCCCTCGTTGGTAGCTGTCTTCGTGTAGGAGGACAAATTGACATTTTCCGTTTTGTCATCTGCTAGGAAGATCACTTTTCTCAGTTCCACGGGCTTTTCGGATAGTACAGCGGGGGTCCAGGCAACCTGGTGAACCAGACTTGTGGGGCTCATGGCTGATTGCGTGGATATGGGGGACGTTTTCAATGACAAGTGAGATTCGTCAGATCTTTTTAATAGAGCCGACCTTTCCTCTTAAGATGGAAATTCAAGTATATTTAATGATTCTTCGCTAGAAACGCATCTCATCCATGGATATTCCCTGTAGGGCAAGCCATCGGTCTTGAAATTGAAGTGGATATGTGAAAGTGACCGCGTGGCTCTCAGTATCCCTTGCTTGAGATATGGACAAATGACACATGTTTAGAGCTTTGCTACGTCAGACGGCCGTATTTTGGACCCCTGGGCAAGTTGCCCTTGTTGGGTCCGTATGAGTCATATTTGAACAAAGCAAAAATTCTGCGTTGAGATTCCCTAGCCGAAAGGTTTCCTCTTCGTATTATGTCCATTCTAAAAGTCCACATGAGGGAGGGGCGAATTCCCCTCCCCTTGTATTGGTAAATTCCATAATGAGCATTGCGAGCCTTGCGGCATACATAATTTCAATAATCACTGCACAGATCATCTCCCTCCCCGTATTACTGAGAATTTTCAATTTCAGCCCTTACAGCGCAGTCCAGGATAAGACCTCACAGAAAAATAAAAACATTAATTTTTTCGTCCTTCACACCTGGTGACATTCTACCCCTTACCCCATCAAGCAAATTTCGACCCGGTAATATGGTAGGCACAAGTAGGGAAAAGGTGTAGCTACGTATCGTATCCTGCATATCGTTCGCGAAGTTGATTTGATTAAAAGTATTTGTTCTCAGCCTGGTGGATTTCATTGAACACGCTAATTAGGTTAATTGCCAGGACGAGGAATTGATGTACTGGCCAGTACCGAACATTTTCAATAAAACCTGATCGCCACGTCGCGTTTCGGGAAATCCATTAGCACGTAGACGACTGTCTCCTGCGCCCGGCACTCGCATAGATGTGTACATCGCGATCAGTGCGAAGCTTTAGTTTGGCTTTGGTTCCGTGGGGCAAGGGACTAACACCTTCGGATCGGCTCGAGCCGAGCCTAAATAAAAGGATAACACATAGCCTTTTCCCTGATCTCGTAATTAATCGTTAATGTTGGCAACAGGCTCATCCTGAGGATAAAATGGCGGGCTTAAGATATATCATGGATGAGCTGTAGTATGTTGGTCACTGTGATCGGATGGGCCAGAAAATAGTCAAGCTTGTTGTGATATGAGGAAGGCTGGTGCAGATCAGGAACCAAGCCGCACCGTCGGAATTAGCTCCGAAGTGTCTATACAGACGACCAAGTTGATTGGAAATCAACTTGGCTCATTGTTATATATATAGGCACATGTATCACTCTGAAATAACAAGTCAATTCATACCTCTGAACAACAACATTTGGCATAGGCGGATGATACATCTTGGCACTTAGGGGGTGGAAAGAACCGCGAAAATCTCGTCCGGAATAGACATCTAGGGTTTATCTGTATCAAAGAAATCCTGCGAGCCTTGCGCCAGAGGCAAGGCAGTCCGCAAACCCCGACGCGCCCTAGTGCTCAACCGCTCAAATAAAACGGGAGAGCTCGTCTATATAGACATCGGCGGCGGCGGGAAGATCAAGCCGGCTTTACAGGCTAAGGCAAGATACTGGCTGCTAATGATCGATGATTATGATGGCTAGGCGGACGTACGTTTCTTACGTACAAAGGATGAGGCCAAAGCTGCTATCAAGGACTTGCTTGCTTAGTACGAGAGAGAGCAACAAGCCCGAATCAAGGACTTCGTTAGCATTGATTCCACCCAAGAAATCGAGTCTATACAGACCGATAATGGCGGCGAATTCATTCAGCAAGCCTTGCAGATCTGGGCTAAAGATCGCGGTATCTCTTGGCAATTTATCGTGCCGTACGCCTATGAATAGAATGGCAAGGTTGAAAGGCTGATGCACATCGTCGGCGAGAGAATGAGGTCTGTCCTAGCAGATTCTAGGCTTCCATCATTTCTCTGGGCTGAGATCATGCAATCTATCCTATACGTACGCAATAGATCTGTCTATAACGGCAGGCGTCTCACGGGTTCAGCTCCTATCACTCCGTACGAGTTGCGCTACGGCCGTAAGCCAGATCTCTCACATCTACGAATTCTTGGATCCCGAGTATTCAGAATTTTCGGCAAGGAACAGATCGCCAAGACCCTGCTGGCCGACATCTCGCTAAGCGCATTGAGATAGGCTATCTCATTGGCTATGGCGACGACACTAGAGCCATGTATAAAGTCTATAGGCCTTACGGCAAGCGCTCTGACGGGTCCCGCCTATCTGGTGGCACCTTCCACTTCGTCAGGGACGCCATTTTCACCGAGGGCGATAACTAGACGTTGTACAACAACCTAGATCACCCTATCTCTCATGACATACTTCATCATTAAGAAGCGAAATTTGAGAATATTGGCCATGAAGGAGAGACCGATCAGATAGTCCTGAAGCCTGAATCAGACCTAGGAGATTCAGACCTATCGGACAGCGATTATGAAACCTAGAATGACGAGGTTTTACCTAAGGTGCGGTCATTTCTTGCTGCTAACCTTGCTAAGCCGATAGATAGTGAGAACCACTACTTTTCTTCCTCACTCTCTTCAATAACAAACAGCTCACTGCTAACCTGCCTTCCTCCGAATCTTCGACCTCTGAATCCCTATACGCGAGTTCCACGTCTATCCCGAGGCCGTCTACAACCTCACGCAGCGGCCGGAACGAGATACAGGCCTGGGAGAATACTACAACGGTTCATCTAGCTGTGAAGGATGGTCCTCACGCTCTTCCACCCTTACCGGATAACATCTTAGACGTCCCATTGAAGTGGCTAGAGTCTCCATCCTCGCTGTCTCAGGCGAAACTCTCACCTTTCTGGCCATGGTGGCTGCGCGCAATAGAAGCTGAGATCTCTCAATTTGAGGCCCTTGGTGTATGGAAACCAGCAGACCCTCCACGTGGCTTCAAACCCTTGTATGGACGCTAGGTCTACAAGCTCAAAACCGATGCCTCTAGGAGGCTAGCTAAGTTCAAAGCGCGCTGGGTTGCCCGAGGCGATCAGCAGGTTGAGGGTATGGACTTCGAAGAAGTCTATGCTAGCACCGGACGTTATGAAACGCTCCGAGTTTTACTGGCTATAATAGCCACATTGGACCTAAAAACCACCCACATGGACGTGAATCTTGCCTATCTAAATGCAGTACTAGAAGAAGAGACGTACATGCATTACCCTGAGGGCTTCGAGGATCGCGGTAAATTCTGCAGGCTATACAAGAGTCTGTACGGCCTCAGACAGTCCGCGGCCAATTGGTATAAGACATTGTCAGAGTTCTTGCTATCGCGAGGTTTTCGTAGCACTAAATCTGATCCATGTCTATACGTCAGCCACCATCAGGGGGGTGGATCATCTATATATTCGTTTATGTAGATAACCTTCTAATAGCGGCTTCTTCTATAAAGCTGCTATATGAGACCAAAGATGCCATTTCATCTCAATGGTCTACGTCCGACCTAGGCGAGGCATCTCACTGCCTCGGCCTACGCATTCTCAGAGATCGGAAGAAGAAGCTGTTAAGCATTGATCAACAGGCCAATATTGAGGCCTTCACTAATCATTCCACCAAGACTTCTTCTCCGAGTCCTCTGATCCCTATTACCCCTCGTCTTTCTCTCAGGAAGTCTAATCCAGACATTCCAGACGCCCAAACAGCTTAGGAGTATAGGAAGGTGATCGGTAAGCTAAATTATGCTAGCAATAACTCACGACCCGACCCGACCTCACCTTCTCCTTCTCGACGCTCGCCGTGTTCAAGCAAAGCTTCTCAGGCCGCCGCTCAGACCGTCCGATATGCTAGACGCACTAGCAACTACGGCATCACCTACGGTTCGCCTAAGACCGATAGGAATACTAGTTCTGAGGACGGACTAGGTTTGTGGGGGTGCGTGGACGCTAGCTTTGCATCCGATCCTGACACCATGAAGTCTCGTACTGGCTAGGTCTTCTTCCTATCCGGCGGACCGATTTCGTGGGCTTCTAGACGTCAATCTAGCGTCACGAAGTCAACCGCGGAAGCTGAGTACTATACCCTTTTAGAGCTGGCAACCAAGCCATCTGGCTACGTCGCTTGCTATATGATCTAGGCATAAGTACAGAGCATGAGGCAGTCCATATTCACTGCGACAGTTAGTCAGCTATCTCAATAACGACGTCTTCCAAGACTCATTCGAGATCCAAACATATTGACGTATATTGGCACTGGATACGTGAGGCCATAGAAGAAAACAGAATCCGTCTATCCCACGTCCTAGGCGTACGCAATATAGCCGACGGCCTCACCAAACCGCTACCTCGGCCCACATTCGAAGCATTCAGAGACCTCATTTCGCTGTCCCGATCATAGGCAAACCAGCCTAATGCGTCGAAATGCCTACAATCTTATGTATAAAAATACGGCATTCTGGCTCATCCAATGAGGATTGAGCATTTTGGAAGCTATCGAAGCATTCCGTCCACTCCTTTCATTTCACCTTTTTCATCCACCCACTTTCTGCCACTTATGGACCTCGGCGCATTCAGGGAGTGTGTTGAGATATTGGCTCAGTGAGCCTGAGGCCTCAACATCTCTGAATTCATGCGCAACGACCATATAGGGCATATTAGATGTTTTGTACCATGGAACTCTTGCAGGTCCGTCGCACTCTCGCTTATTGTATTTTTACTACTACAAATAGCTGTGGAAGTACCTCTTCAGGGAGTCAGAATTAAAACACCTCATTTTAATGACAAAACTTCTTGCCAAGAGAACCTCCATAGTCAGATATTCCAACACAATATCATTATATCGAATATTACGTTGCTGTGAGCCAGAAATATATATTGAAGTGGGAAGAGCGCGCTGGCGGTCTGACATCGCAGACAAGACGTTGGGGGTGTTCAGTGCCCGACGAGGGTCATCGGTAGGAAGCAGGGCCCAAGAATAGCTAAGTGATGAAGAAAGTCCGTATTGTGAGAGTTGTAAGATGCATGAATTGCTATGCTATGGAACTGCGGACTAAAACTACCATTCTTGACGATGTGGCGCAGGTGGGAAAGTGGCGCTGTTTCCCCATTACAATATATCTTAACCACTAAGTCCAAGAAATTCTCCAAAGTCCCTTAAATAGACTAAATATCATATGAAAAGCATTAGGCTATAATGCGAAGTACTTACACACACCGTCGTTGAGATATCAAGCTGTGATTTATCCCATTTAGTATGGCGTTTTGAGCTGGGCTGCTCGCTTGGGTGGGCCGGTCGCATGTGAAATACGTTAATAAGGTGTGGAATTAGGTAAGGGATATCGAAACTTTGGAGGTATCCATGTACATTATTGTACCACCAAATTTCCGTCACTCTTCCCTACTTCTGCTCACAGATAGTAGGCAATGGCACAGACCGCACAAAGAAACGTGACCATCTGGGTGTATTGTATGTATTATCAATATATTATAATACTTCGTGGGCCATGGAACTGTTTTTACAATTGGCGGCTTCGTCGATTCAACAAGATTACACGCAAACGGTTCAAGTTCACCTAGGTCTTCCGAGCTTAATATTCTGCTTCCCATTATCCCGATACCGAACCCATGAAAACCATTGGAATTGTTGGTGGAATTGGGTGGCCGAGTACGGTTACTTACTACCGTGTTATCAACGAGCTGACCTCCAAGCATATGGGAGGGCCTGGTACGCACTGTGCTGAACTGGTTCTCGTTCAAACAGATTTTCATCTGTTGGAGCGGTTGGTGCAAGATGGACGATGGGAGGAAGTTGCAAATTCCTTGGTCGCCCTAGTCAAGAGGCTACAGTCCGCTGGGGCCGACTTCTTCATCATACCCTGCAATACGTTCCACCTCGTTGCACCCCAGATAGAAAGCAAGGTTGACCTGCCCATGGTCCACATAGTGGATGCGACTGCAAGGAAGATTACCCAAGAGGGGTACAAAACTGTTGGTTTGATCGGGAGCCGATACACCATGACTCGAGACTACTTTATTGGCCCCTTAGTCTCACAGTACGGCCTCACAGTACTGGTGCCGGATGAGGACCAATGCAACGAAATCTCTCAAGTCCTTCGAAGTCAGCTCTTGCAGGGCATTTTCCTTTCCGACACGAGAAGTCTCTTTATGGATGCAATAACCGGCCTTGCTGGCCGCGGCGCACAGGCCGTCATCCTCGGATGTACCGAGATTGGTCTTCTCGTTCAAGATGAGCATAGTTCGGTTCCACTTATTGATACCGCTATCGCACATGCCGAAGCCACCGTTGAGATGGCTCTGGGGGGTTGACAGACGACAATACCTTGTGACTGATAACGGTGGATCGTAGCCTCTTCAGCTGCTCTGCAAGGATTGAAATATGGATTTTGGTGATTCTACATGGGATTCTTGTTCGAATAAATTACTGCTTTTTTACATGGAGCTACTGTAACGTACGTTTCTCTCCGTTTGAGGGATGCGGCCAAGATCCTCCCAGATAGGAATCTAGGAACAGTGCAAGGCAAAGCGCACCTTACCGTTAGAGAAGCGAACATAAGAGTGTGCTAAAAAGCCGCAGATCTTAGCCAACGAAGATGTGTCGGTACAAATCACAACGCGGCGATACCCTACGTTAAGGCGACTGGTACATGCGCAATCTGTAGTAAGGTTTCCCTGTAATTTATCCGTGCAGACCCTCAGCTACCCATATATAAGCCAAATCACCTCTCAGATTCATCCCTGCAAATCCATCTTTTACTAAGTTCCGTATAACACCTTGAACAAATGGGTCAGGCCAATATCAGCCAGCCAGCCGCAAAAACAGAGACCCCGGTGGACACGGTCCAACACCTCGACCAATTTCGAAAGAAATATCCTAGCATTAACTTTGTTCGGTTCCAATGGATGGACTACTCGGGGGTCCTGCGGGCACGTGTCCTAGTAATGGATGCATGCCGGAGAATAGTGGTGACGAAGGGACTTTTACATGCCCCCCTATCTTGCTTCGTTGCTCAATCAACAACCAGGTAATGCCCAGTACCGGCCAAGGTAACGTGCAATGGCTGGCTCCAGACTGGTCTTCATTACGACCAACCGCGGACCCCAGGGCGGCAATGGTGATGTGTGAAGTGGTTGGGGATGCTGCACCGGCTGACTCTCCACCATCAGGAGATTGCTGTCCACGGCGGGCTTTGGTGGATGTCGTGCAACACGCGCAAGAGGCCTGGGGTATAGACTTCCTGGTGGGATTTGAGGTGGAGTTTCATGTTATGAAAGCCTCATCCGAAGGGGGGTTTGGTCCCTCACAGCCGGGGCTTGGGGCGGTTTGCGGTGTCCGGCCTGCGCGACTCGTGCTATCGGCTTGTAGAGCAAGCCGTAGAGCAGCTGCTTGCTCTGGGGGTATGCGTTGACGGAATGCATACAGAAGGCACCCGCGGCCAATATGAGATCGCATTGGGGCCCCTGCCGCCGCTGCAGGCAGTCGACCAGCTGACGCTAGTTCACGATTCCCTCAAGGAAACCTTCTCTAGACAGGGATACGTGGTTACCATGTCACCAAAGCCGGTAGTCTCCAACCCACAGGCCACCGGACAACATATGCACGTCTCCTTGCATCCTGCCGACAGTGCTCGGGAGGCGGCTTTCCTGGCTGGAATCCTCAAGCGGTTGCCACTGTTGTGCGCGTTCAGCCTTCCTCATATCATCTCGTATGAGCGGATGGCGCCGTTCATGGCCGGTGATACAGTTGGATGGGGAACAGAATGTCGGACGGCACCTATCCGGAAGATCCGGCCCTGTCATTGGGAGATTAGATGCATTGATGCTACGGCCAATATGTATCTGACCCTCGCAGCTATGCTCGGCGCGGGACTGCTCGGACTAGCCAGTGAAGAGCCCCTTCGCTGGCCAGACCTGGGCGATAAGACCATTCAGTCCCGGCCAGAATCAAAGAAGCTCCCAACATGCCTCGAGGAGTCCCTCGCCGAACTATCCGGGCACTCAGAGAACCTTGATATGATGATCGGTCGTCTCATTATACAACAGTACGTCGACTTTAAGCGGTACGAGATGGTTCAGCTTCGGGGCATGGACCCAACAGAACTGAGGGAATTGTTTATCGAATTGTTCTGATTCATCCCTTAACCATTGGACTCATGCAGTCCTTGAACAAATGATACACCGTCGACGTGATTGGCTGTCGATGAAACATGCATGGCGCTACTTCTTACTCATCCGTATTCTAAAGCGTAAAAACGCAGTTTGGGTCGCGTCATACGTGGATGTGTCACTGGTCTTTTTTTTTCTGCATCCTTTCTTCCTGCAGCTCATGCAGATAGAGCCCGAATCAACCAATGCAGGCTTCTCGTACTATGTATATAAGGAATCCGTTTGCCAACCAGTAGGTTAAGGCGCCTGTGTACGGAAAATAAAAATACGGTGAGAAAACCTTATGCGTCAGGGTCCTGCAAAGCCTTGTTGAAAATATCATGCCGTGTATCTGCAGAGTATCGTCCCAGTCAAGGATCACAAAAAAGAGCGATTTAATAAGTGCTGGCCATAATGGATCATCATCCAAGGATTGGAGAGGTCTCGGCCCATGATCCCGCTGCTTTGCCTGGAACGCTCTCACCGCAATTTGAGCTCCGAACACAGGCCAGGAAAAGTCTTAAGTCGTAAAATCATGCTCTGTGTGTCAACGTGCCACCCAAGCTTCAACTACCTACAGTGACACAATGGTCAATGTTCAGGACTACAATGCTCCAAATCTCGGGCTGCCAACGAATTTCCGTGCCATTCTACGCACCGACGATTTGCTTTGGGGAACATGGTGCCATATCGCTTACGAAGAAGTCGCCCGCGTTCTGGCCCTGCTACCTCACGAGTTCTGCTTTATCGACGGTGTGAGTTGTACCTCTCGTGAGCATGTGAATTTCACCGGCCAACGCGGATTATTCAGGAACACACGCCGATGGGACCGAAGGAACTGACTGCCGTGACGCGGGCCATAAACTTCTACTCAGGGGGTTCCATGATCCCCTTCGTGCGCGGTACAACCCCCGATATGGTGAACCACGCCCTGAATGCCGGTGCAGGGGCCATCGTCATGCCTCACATCCGTACCAAAGCGGAGGCTGAAGTGCTGGTCCGTCTCGTCCGCTTTCCCCCTCATGGCGACAGAAGTGTGCCCCCAAATGCCTTGCTGGGCCGTCAAAACAATTTGCCAGATGGCCTCAGGGCCATGGACATCTGGGACGATCATGTCGCGGTGTTTGCGCAGGTAGAGGACGTACAGGGAGTAGAAAACATTGAGGAAATCGCGCGGGTTCCCGGTCGTACGTATTTAGTTGTCTTCCCATACTCGTGTTACTCTGGTGTCCTAACTACCAGTACCATTAGTCGACGGGATCATGGTCGGCGGATGGGACTTACAGTCCTCAATGAAGCTAAGCCCCAGTCGTGCTGGAAATCACCATCCAGAGTTCTTGGCCGCTATTGAGAAGATACAGCGTGCGGCGGACGCAAATAGCCTCGCGGTCATGGGGGCTGCGACGCCGGATACCTTAGCAGATCGCATTAGGCTCGGCTGGAAGCTCATTATAACCAGTCCTGATGCGGAGGGGATCCTTAACTGGGGGATGCTACGGCTGGAGGAGTGCAAGAAACTCGCGGGGGAAGTGCCTCGCCCGGGGAAACATGCGGCGCAGCAAGATCAGGGCTGAAGATAATTTGGACTGAAAATTATATACGAGATTGATTTCCTGAATTGAATTGGCGCTCGTCCCAAGAAAAAGCAATATCGGACGCGTAGGAGACTTCCTCATCGTATGTGCCACTTGAGAAGCACCTCGAATGATTAGCGTTCAGTGCGAGACTTATACCAACTGCATATTAGCTTCAACACGTGCAATAGCCAAGTTAGGAAGAGGACGGTGAAAGTATCCTTCAGTCATAGAGCTAGCCCCACAATAGTACAGTCTCACAGCAAAAGTTTTAACAACACCCTGGCCCCACATAGATACCGCCTTCCTATTTAACCTACACCGCCATACGATAGTGACGCGGTATACAATATAGGCTCCATATAGCGCGTATATCTCGCGTTTCCCCCCTAATTTATCACTTTCCTTCTTCGTATATGCTTCTTACTCTCTTCTCTCTCACTATGCCTGCTCGCTCAGAACTTACTCCAGCCATTCGTGAAAGGATCTGTGAGCTACACTCTGCGGTTCATTGGGGTATAGGCGGATACACCAGAGATATCCGTGGATTTCTATCTCAACAATTCGCTATACGATCAAGAAAGAACATGAAAGACGTGATGGCGTTTCGAAACCGCGTTCTGGTCGACCTAAAAAGCTGAATACTACTGATAAAGTACGTCTTCTTGGTGTCATTTCGGAGAATCCGCGGGTTACCCACGAAGATCTGCTTGCTGAGGTCTCTCATAAAGTCAAAATCGACTCGATAAGACGCCTCTTGAATGCTGAGAACCTCCGAAAATGGAGGTGTAGCTGGCGTCCCTACCTTACGGAGGAACACGCGCTAAAACGTCTCCGCTGGGCTGTCCGATATCATCACTTCATAAAGGAGGATTGGGCCCGGGTTTTTTGGTCTGATGAATGTACGGTTAAACGTGGGATTGGTATCCGTCGAGAATGGACATTTATTCGCCCGAAAGACCAGCCGAAAGAAGGACAATGTTAAGGATTACCACACCGAGGGAAGCAAGTAAAGCAGATGTTTTGGGCTGCTTTTTCAGGGGCTACACGTCGAATAGGGCTTATCCCGCTGTTTAGGGACCCTAAAGCTGAGCGTACGGGTATTACGGGCCTTATTATTAAAGAGTTATACCGGCGGATCCTACCTACCTTGGTGTCGAATGAAGGGGCTATTTTTCAGCACGATAATGCACCTACACATACTGCGCGCGTTGTTCGGGATGCTTTACGTGAGATGAACATTGAAGTTATGGAATGGCCACCACACTCGCCTGATTTGAACCCAATTAAAAACCTCTGGGCGTTATTAAAAGCTAAGATATACGAGCTTCGACCTGACCTCATCCATATGGGTAATAATGATACGACAAAGGAGCTGATCACATAAACTTAGTAAGTAATTATCGGGAGTAATGCAACGTACCATGTATGTTTCAACTTATATTATTTTACAGCACCTGAGTGATCTGCGAAGTATTGAAATTCCAATTATCTTGAGTAATCTACTATCCTTATAACTTCCCAAGGGTGGTATATTAGCATAGGATAGCCTTCTAATGAAAATGCTGCCCAGATCAAACCTTCTAGTACTTATGGCGAAACCCACCTTTAACTTCAGTCACATGTTTAGAATAAAATTGCAACTTCTATAGTTGGTCTGTGGACAAAATTGATGAAAAATGCTTGGGACCGATCTACGAGTTCGACATGGTCATGAAACCCTGGTACAATTCACAAACTACAACATGCTATATCCCCTGACCAAACCGCGCCTGTGATCGATCGCCTAAATGCAGAGAGAATGTCTACGCAGGAGCTTCATCAGTCGACCAGGGGATATCCCGCCTTCTTAGCCATTCTGTATATCTAGTTCTCCAACTGTATCCGCCGCTAAAGCACGCAGTACGCAAGCAAAGATCCCCAGGGTGGCCCATCGCGAGGGTTTTGAAGCCGGGAATCTGTAGGTATCTTGATCGTTAGCACTGGAAGATTGCTGGGCACCGGAAGCGGTGTGGGTATCCTACCGGGACTCTGGACTACATGTCTCCTAAAATTCGACTGAGCTCCACACAAAACTCAAATACTGCGTCAGCTGGAAGGCAGTGACTGCACTTCCGCCCTGTACAGACATATCTTAATGTGGGGCTAGCGGAAGGGTCCTCATCCCTTGCATCATTCCCTGCCACTCAGATGATGCTTCAGCAATTCCAACATAGCGATTAAGTCGAGCTGTCAGAGGGATTCCACAATTTGCATCCTTGATGCGAAGAAGGAAAGGAACCACATGAGCATCCAATATGCATGGCCCACTTTTCCCCCAGATCCACGGGCCTTCCTCATCCATCTGCTCTGTTAATTTGGTAAGGAATTTGCTCGCTTTATCCGTCTCACGGGCTGCCTGCAATGGATCAAAACTCTGGCCTTTTTCCGACTTGTAACTGCGTTGGTCAACCAAATATTCATATCGCTGGTGTCTCAGACGTACACCTGGTATTTATGTAGTAATGCTTTCCGGTAAGCGGGGGATAAATCCGGGCTATCTAGCCTTTTCCTCATAGTATCCAATGTACGTCTTGTAATCCGGAAGCCCATTGCAGTACGAGCAAAAGTCAGGGCAAAATAGTCCAAGGTATGTAATTCTCGGAGCAGCCAGACCGTCTGGTCCACATGAGCTGGGGGCGCACGGAGAACACCATATCGCTCTGTCAGGAATAAGCCCATGTCAAGCGACTCGGTCAGAGGTTGTTCTAAACCACTATCGCTTGCTAGGACTGGCACCTGTGGTGAAAAACATCAGCTTCATTTTCTGTGGGGGCTTCTGGCGGAAACCCGGACCTGGCCCTTTGGATTAACCGTGAGGAGAAAGCTCTCGCTCAATTGTTCATGATCCACAACCAGATCAATGTCATGTTGCTTTATTATGGGACTTTCTGCGGCAGGCAACAGGGCTTGAAGGCAGGCAAATGTGAAGCGGATCATCAAGCATGGCAAGGAATAGTTAGCAACCCAGAGGTCATATCGATCAGCCTTGAGCTGTGCCGCGTTTGTGCAATTGGATGGAGACATTGCGATGTCCATTCAGAGATTGAGAGTGACGCTGATTCCAGTACCACTGAGACAACAAGGAAGCAAACACAATCAATAGATCTCAAAACGTCGGTTTCGGGACTGGGTTCCACAATTTGCGCCGGAGGAGTGAGTACCTGGGCTAAGCGTACGTGTGCAACCATCTCTGTTCCGGGTAGCGATCGACGACTCTGACACCAAGGGAAGACCAATCTAGATGCGATGTCTTAGCTCTCGAAGAAGAATTTCAATTCACCAAGCACCTATGCTAAGTCATTAAGACAAAACTGGCGGTGTGCAGTGCCGCGATCATATCCTTGTAAGCAGCTTATAATAACCGCTCATTGATCCTACCTCGTAGTAGACTTCCTCATCTTCCCTGGACCGGCTGACCGAGAAAGAGCATCATTGATTGCGAAAAATGGCGCCCCTCAAAGTGATCGGTGCTGGCTATGGTAGAACCGGCACAACAAGTCTTGCTAAAGCCTTGGAATTACTGGGGTAATTAAGGCCCTATGGTCTGGTCCCCGGCCGCCCAGAGAAGTGTGAACTAAAACTCGCCAGATTCTCATGTCACAACATGCACAAAGTGATAAGCGACGCTAATCAAGTGCCTGAGGTATTTACGGAGGCATTTCACGGTCGGGCGCAGCCAGATTGGGATGAAGTATTTAAACATTACGATGCAACCGTCGCATGGCCAGCAGCTGCATTCTGGGAGGAGCTTTTGCACAAATACCCCAGTGCTAAGGTAATCCTGACCGTTCGCGATCCAGGGAAATGGTATGCATCGGTGCAGAAGACGATCCTCGAGTGGCCGCTCAGCGAAGATGTGATCTTGCCTGATCATATGAGACGGGCACGACAAATGGCGCGAGCGATCATCGGCAATGGTGTCTTGAAGAATTTTGTGGACAAAGACGCGACCATCACCCAGTACAACAAGCACATAGCATATGTCAAAACCCAAGTACCCGTCGCCAATCTTCTCATCTTAGACGCAGAGGACGGTTGGGCTCCCCTGTGTCGCTTTCTTGGCGTCAATCCGCCGGACGACGTTCCCTATCCTCACACGAACCGCGGCGATGACTTCAAAAATACGCTGCTCGCAGCCAAAGAATATGTCGAGTCCGAGCGGTTTGTGAAGCGGTGAGTCCAAACGCGTGGACCCTTGCAGGATACTGGCGTCTGACGCATAGATACACGGGAGAATTGTGGATATGGGGGCGCAGTCCTTGCATATTGGGCTAGCTAGAGAATGCGAAATCCGATGTTGCAAGGGTATGGTAATAAATTTTCTCGCAGGGTGCTCTTTTGATGAATATCGCACATACTTTATTTCTCATCGGCGGCTATTAGGTCACGTGAGCAAGACTTATGTAGGAGTAGACCTCGCCAAACGCGGGTTTGGGTTGGGTTTTCAATTTCCTTACCCGCCCATGGGCAACCCACCGCGGGTTTTGGCCTTGATGAACCCGCCCATGGGTTCTTGGCGGGTACCCGCGGGTTGCCCAAAATACCCAAAAACATGCATAAATCGTGGATAAACTTGATTAGTCATCTGGTGTATTTTTGGTCCTTTATTTCTGTCACGTTTTTGAGTGGATATTACACTGAAACAATGAACGCCATCGACCTGGAAATATATATTCTCTTCATGTAGATCACTGCCCCCATCGCCCTGCTTTACACATCTGAAGGGATTATAGGCCACATTAATGATTTTATGTAAATTCATTAATTGAGAATCTTTCGAGTGAGCTTAAAAATATTATCTCTAGTTCGATCATTTAAAATCAGTGATTTGGACCTTCTCAGTGTCCTCCTAAAGTCGTATTCATCTCCGGGCGGGTTGGGTTGGGTTGGGTTGGGTTTTGGGTACCCGCGGGTTTTACGCGACTCAGGAATAGATAGATCTAAACGCACGACGCGACTGGAATAAAATCCACAATTAAGTACTTAAGATGAAAAAAATCCCCATCTTCTAATACCAGTGGCCTTTTACTTTAGTATGGCGTCTTCTTCCTTATTATCGCGATTAATACATCGGCCTTTCAGTCCACTGCTCTCCATTAAGCCGTCATCTGACGGCTTTTTGGATTCTGACATATAATCCTCCGTAAGAAAATGGTCCCTTCCACTAGCCTCTGAGTGTTGCGGCGCTACCTATATGTATACTAAGATGGACCGCAGCCTTTGATAGGACCCCGTAAAACCTACGACATAACTACTCGAAGACCTCTAGCGACACTCCGACGTGTGGGACCTTAGCACAGAAAGAAATGGATTACGTACTAGTCGCATCTAGAGACAGAGTTTCTTGAATGGTGGAAGGAAACAGAGTACGGCTAAAAGCTGAACGGAGAAGGCTAATCCTAGATTAAATGGTCCACTGGATCGCGTCACGCTGATGTGTGGAAACACTTTGACCAGGTGACTGATATTGATTCTGGGCGTCCTCGAGTCATCTGCCAGGCTTATCTCACTGTGCTTGATTATCCACAGTATAAAGGGAATGGGATAAGCGCTATGAGTAGATATAAAAAGTCTAATACTTATCGTAAAGGGAAGAAAAAGGGATTTAATCAGTCATTGATTTCGGATTCTTTACAGAACCATTTCACGAGAGACTCACCTAGTGTCCACAGAGTGATAACATTTCAAATCGAGGAGCAGATATTGAAGATAATTACGTGTCTTCGTTTACCTTTCCAGACGGTGGAGAACCCGGTGTTTTAGAGGCTACTCAGCCTTTTATATTCTGGTCCCGGAGAATTGGAACTCCCGTCAGCGAAGACCCTGCGGAGACGGCTCCGGGATACAGTTAATTGCCAGCAAGAGTTATAGTTATAAGATCTGCCTGAAGATGCTAAGGTTTCCCTCGCTTTAGATTATTGGACTAGTCCATTTTAGCAGGCATTCATGGTAATCACGGTTTATTTCATCGATAAAGATTAGAACTATAGGGAAATGCTCCTCGGCTTTAAGCCGTTACACGGTCCTCATATAGGTAACAACCTTAGTGATGTTTTGCACCGGTTACTGGAGGAACGAAAACTTCTCGATCGTATTTTTAGCGTTACTATAGATAACGCTACTAATAACGACACTATGATACGCGCCTTACAAGAGAGACTGCTCTCTATCGGAGCTATTAGCTCTAGGGAATTAATAGTCCGGGTTCCCTGCATGGCTTATGTGATCCAGCTTTGCCTGAAATAGCTACTGGGACATATTAGGGCAGCACCTAAGAATAAAGAAGTCAGAGCCTTTTAGTCCGACACCTAAGCGCACGGGTTAAAGGATTCAATCAACTATGGAGACGTGGCTTATACACTAACAAAGGTGAGCCAAGATATTCACTTTTTTAATATACTCAGAGCACTGACAGCATTAGATTCGATCCTTTACGATCTTTGTTAACGTAAGCCTATAACGGCGTGATGCTTTTTTATGCCTCTAATCAGGTGGTACTCGGCTTTTTCCGTTACATGACGTTTAGACACGCTGGAATTCAACTTTTTTGATGCTTCGCCGAGCACGCCGGCTGAGAAATGTAATCGATAAATACTGCTGCGATCATGAATACTCGTAGCTTAAGGTTACCGACGTTGAATGGAGGCAAATTGACTACCTCGTTTATTTGACTAAACCGTTTTTTCAGTTCACTATGGCTCTGATGATGACTAGAGACGTCATAATCTATAGTGTGTTCCTTGTGTATAGGAAACTACTGGAGCATATCGAACGGTCGAATCGAAGATTGAAGAGAAAGATAACACCCTGGAAGAAAGATATGTATGGCGCGTTGCTTGTGGCGAGGCAGAAGCTGAAAGAGTACTACGAAAAAACCTACCGCGACCACGGTTTTCTCTATGGCACTGGAACATTACTTACCCCTCAGTATAAACTGAGTGCTTTTGATGATTGAGAGTACTTAACTTGCCATGAAGATACGTTAAAAAGGTACTGTGAATATTTAAGAGCATCTTTCACACAGTATCAGCAGCAGAACCCCGAGTTGCTATTCCGTACGGTCCAGCGATCTTCTAATTCGCATAGCACAGAGCTTAATCGGCTACTCGAGCCACCTGGTGCATCGATTTTCCATGAAGGAGTAGAGTATGACGAAGTGGACCAGTATCTTCGCGAAGGCACGAGTAATCAGTATAACACACTGGAATAACTGACTGACCTCGAATAGCTAATGTCCCTGTGTCGCCGCGACTTTATTGGAAAGAACACGAGCGCGAATTCCTAGTGCTGTCTCGGCTCGCACGAGACTTACTTTCAGTCCCTACCACCGGCGCGGGTGTAGAAAGGCTCTTTAATAGCGCACGAGACATTTATCATTATCGCCGAGGGTCTCTTCACGAAGGGACCATTTAAGACTTAATGATGTACATGTGCTCAGAAAAGCTCACACTAGAGGGATAGCAATTGATTCGTCTGGAGAAACCGTTGGAGAGCGAGAGCTAAGAGGCACTTAAAGAGGATGAAGCGTTAAAGGTAATCGAAGAGGATGCAGAGCCGATCAGCGACAATGAGGAGATTAAAGAGAGCGAGAATCTCGAGGGTAACTCTGAGCCAGAGGAGACATACTAAGTGGAGTGTACGGTGGTAGAGACCGGCCGGAGCTCTATACACAGACATATTCACGAACCTGAACAAGAAGAAGAGAGTATGGAGGAAGACGTGGTTGATTACGACGAAGCAGATTTACTTCCGCCTCTAATCATGCAATTGAGTGATAGAAGCCAGAAGAGATCTTCTGGTCGGGTAACAATGCCCTCCAGCAGACTGCGAGGTTACGAGGTATACTAGTCTTTATAATTAGCCAATTTGATTTTTTCAAGCCCTTCATGTTCCTTTCCAAATATTCACAGCTAGAAGCTAGTAGTTACGCCATCGAAATAATTAGATAATTGAAAATTACTGCATAACTTAGTGTAAAATGATCAGTCAGCTTTTTTTGCTTTTTTGGGTAATCGCGGGTACCCATTTGGGTCTTGGGTTGGGTTTCCCGGATGACAACCCGCCCACGGGTTTGCTGACTAAGACCCAACCCGGCCCATGGGCTGGGTTTTCGCGGGCGGGTTTTGGCGAGGCCTATGTAGGAGTGACAGATGCATCATGATATAGCGATGTGCCGAGTTGGAGATAGTTTAGACCGCCGTCTCTTCACCTATCCATAGCCTTGACTTGCTGATCCTTTAAAACCGCGGACACGAGAGACGCACTGGAAACTTGGGAACAACCTCTTCTCGCCAATTTTATACCGGAACGCTGATGATGGCTTCCTTACGGACTGATGCCCACTGGAAAATTACCAGCGATCCTTATTTTACCCAGCTTGGATTCCGGTGAAAGGGATCAGGTCATCGTCGTTGATGACAGCGGCGGCCGACAAATAAATTTATATTCGGATATTAGCCCTGAAAAATTATGAATTCATAGTATCTTGTTTAGCCGTCCTCGCATGTAGCGCCATTGCAATTCCTCCCGTAAGTCGCTTCTAGGGATTGGGTACTCAGTTATGGCGTCTATTGACGGGGGAAATTGGGCTACTACCAAAGGAAGACAGCTATTCTTTGGGACAGAATGTAATATTGATTTGGTTATCGTGGAATTGGACTAGCGGAGAGCTGCGAGGACCATACACCATCATCGAGAGACTGCAGATTCAAGATATTCCAAGTGGGTAGTCATAGATGCTCCGTTCACGAACGACGCCGCAATTAGACTTCCGCAGAACCCAGTACTGGGTCGAAACCTTCAACCCAGAACCCAACCCAGTACTGGGTTGGGTCGAAACCTCATAACCCGGACCCAACCCGGACCCAGTACTGGGGCCCCAATAAACCCAACAATAACCCAGTTGGACCCAACTTTGGCATAAATTCTGGCATAAACCTGCTTAGTTTTCCAAATAGAATACCGTTTTTTTCCCATGTTTTAGTTCATACCTAAGAATTTAACTCTTATCACCAAGAAGCCACTTAAAATTATAAGAAATCTCTATGTAAATAGTAGGAATCTGTCTATTTCTCTATCAAAAACCCCTTAAGATGCCATATTTCACATAGAATATAGTGTATGGGGCGTTTGGGAAGATACACCCTCCTGAAGTTATAGAAATATATATTTAACATGTATAGACCTAGTATACATTTTATAATAGATTTAGGGAGTAAAAAGAAAAGGTAACCATTTCTTCATTTTTTGATACTATTTATTGATTAAGTGAGAAAGTAGGCTCTCTTATTTACATTTATATTATAGAATAGATATTCAAACCCTACTGTATCTTGAATTGGCGGTTCTTAGACATTTAGAGACCCCATGAGGTGAAATATTTTAAGGGATCTACATAAAACTGGGGTGGGAATTAGGTTTTTACTGGGCTTTGACTGGGTTATCCGGGTTTTCGCTGGGTTATTGCTGGGTTACTGGGTCAGACCCATAAATCATAAGCTTAATAGACCAATCGGATAGTATAGTCATCTAGCCGGATATAGTCCGTTTGATCTATCAACTCCTAAAGTCAACCTTTCTTATTTATAATCTCTAATTCCTCCCTTACTTAATCATTCATCTTAATGCTGACCTTTAATTATGTCTCAAAGCCAGTTTTCAGACTTCCCATCGTCCTTTTATGGGGAACTTGATGATTCATAAGTGCCTACTCCCTCCGTAAGTATACAGACCTAAGAACCCTGGGAATCTAGTTTCCTCCGACCGGGTGATCTGACTCCTACGCCGGTTCCTTCTTCCCTTACGCGCGTTAGTCCCGACCGTAGGAAGACATTTCTTCTTTACGATAAGATGGTTTATTCGGAATGGGTGGACTGGTGGCTAGGGACTGAATATGGCACGAAAAATAAGATTAATTAGGACTCGAAACGCTATACAGAGATCTGGGATAGCTACCACTAGGTCGCTAAAATCGCCGATGGGGCACTAAAGGTTATGTGTAAGCGTTATGGTAAGATCCTAGAGCATCCTTATTCTACCAGCCCAGGTAGTATAGGTAGTAAAGTGCAGTACCATGGCACATTAACGATCATAAAGCATCTTAAAACAGCTGGATATATACGATCAGATAATAAGATGAATTCGGGGATTATAAAGTTTCTACAGAATGATGTAAAGTATAACCCCTAGCCCTATAAACCTATAGCCTTACTGATTCATAACGATTCGACCTCCTAGGTAGGAAATACAGCCAATATACCATTCTCAGTATAAGAATGGGAAGAAGATATCCTCCAATTCATTACCCTAAACCGCCTACCATTCAATCTCGTCGAACATACATCATTTAAACGTCTATTCCACAAAGCTCGCTCTGCCCCAGCCATTCTATAATTCCCCTCCGCCGATACTATGCGTCGCCGACTCGGGAGCATAGTTAAAGATCGACAACAGCGTATCCTTCGCACGCTACCCCCTCGCTCTAAGATATCTATTGCGCTTAACTGCTGGACGTCTCCCTTCTCGTAGGCATTTATGGCTATCACTGGCTATTTTATTGACGCCGATTGGGTTTATCGCGAGGTGCTTCTTAGGTTTAAACCGGTTTCCGGTTCACATACCGGTGATAAACTTAGTAGTGTTCTTTTAGAAACCCTCGTGGAGCACGAAATCAGCGATAGGATATTTAGATTAACGACGGATAATGCATCGAATAACAAGACGTTAGCTACTACTCTCCAGTAAGCGTTACCAGATGAAGCTTTTATTACCCGATAGACCTTGCCAACTCCCATCATTTGGTCCCATGGGACCACTCCCATGGGAGTAGATGGGACTCCCATATGGTCCCATGGGAGTGCCAAGAGATGGGAGTGAGGTGCTAGTCCGCTCCCATGGGACTTTGATGGGACTCCCATGGGACTGTAAACACTGCAAACACGTAGAAAAACGTGACCTGCATAAGATATGCAGAAATGCCCTGTATTAATGGGTATTTAGCTTACAGTGGGAGGTAGCATTGAATGATTCTGGATTAATTCCTCTCAAAAAGTAGTGTAATTATAGTATCCTGTGATTAAACTATCTAGTATACTCGTATAGATCTTCATCCCTACGCCGCTTACGATCTCTTTGGGGGCGTGCCTGACTTGTAGTATCGATGGCAGGCAATGGATGTAGTGCCGAATCATCATCTGACTCCTCAGCGGCCTCCTGATCGGTAACAATCTCTCCTGCTTCATCTGAGTTATCACCGTCCTCACCCTCGCTAATTGCCTCTGGTATACACTCAGGAAGTCCCGCCTCCCTTACCTCATCACCCTCAGTCCTTTCGTCCTGATTTAAGGTAGCCTCAGGTTGGAAATCCTCCCCAGTTTCCTCACTTTCAATATCAAATTTGGATAAACAACGAAGCATCATCAAATCCTGTATTGTTACTTCGTTCAATGAGCCTCGTCGATAATGGCAGATATCGCGAGCAGTACTAAAGAGGCGCTCAACACCGGCGCCAGTAGCTGGGATAGAAAAGACATCCCGTGCAACCGCTGCGAGTATCGGAAATCTATACTCATTCTCTTTCCAGAAATGGCATGGGTTTACTATGCTCCGTTCTATATATAATTAGCTTAGTTAAGTTATAATCATGATCATCTAAACATACCAGTATTAAGATATCCCTTAAGTTCTTCTTGCCACCCAGTCTTCGGCTGCGGTGGTGGCTCTGGTTGATCCTCCTCGAAGAGGCTCATCATTGCATCCGTGCTATGCGAGGAGGACTTTGCCTTTGTAAGCACTTGCTTTTTAGGCTGGCGTTTTGAGTAATCCTCCAAATGATTATGAAGAGACTTTTCATATATGTCATGCCAGGAGGAATCCATATTATCGACTTCACCTGCCCACTCTGGTCCTTTAAAGAATTCAAGTTTATGCTGAGGTGCAAGAATTGTACTAATTGCATATAGGCTGCCATGTGCTTGCTCAGTTGCTTTATAGTATACCGAGAGTTTCTTACTTCCGGCCTCAAGAGCCTTAAGCATAGCCTTTTTCCAAGGCACTTTCTTTCGCCGAAGTCGGGCCTGGGCCTGCTCAAAATGGGTAAATAGTCGGTTGTAGACCCGGAACACATCATGGATTGTTGTCGCCTTAATCTTTGATAGGCCAACCGTCCATTTGTAGAAAGGCTTTGTGATATGGAGCAAGTATTCGATCTGCCGCCATTCGCTTTTACCAAGCCGGAATTCGGGGCGCTGATGCTCTGCGCAATATCTTTGGTAGCTATCTGAAAGGCGATTGGCGCGCTGGAGCATAAGATATGTTGAATTCCACCGAGTGCGTACATCCTGGATCGGGGCAAGCCTCGGTTCTTCGCTTTGAAGATTTAGAAATGCCTCCCGTCGCTGTGGGCTGGCATTAATAAAAACTGCGAAGGCCCGTACCTGGCAGTATAGTAGTTAGTATTAGATAAAATTGTTAAAGGCATTAGTTACTTTACCTTAGCTAGCGTATAAATGATTCCCTTCTGTCTCTTTGCCTGTTGAAGAACACTCCCGTTTTCTTCCGACCATGTTGTTGCTGTCTTGTCGTTTTTTGGATCAGCCTTTATTAGGCCAAGGAGATCTTTCAGACTCAAT